TTCAAAACATTTACAATTTTTGGTGTAACAAATGAAGACCCCGTAATTTAAAAAAACTCTTTAGTTTGCCCAAGATCTTATAAACTGTATGATCCAACCCATATCAGCCATTATCACATTTCTTTCGGAAATAAGCATTGTTCACAGTTCACAGTTCACAGTCATGTTTGATAATTTGGCCTTGATGAGAAAAAAATCTCCTCTCATCAAATGGAATTATCATCTGTCTTTTGTTTTTACTGTTTTTTTCTGTTATCCATAGTGTTTCAGTTTTATTCCTCACATGCTATTTCTAATTTAACCGAGCAGCATATTAGATTTATAATCACTTCTCTATCAAACCTAAAATGTAAAGTTGACTATCTATCTTGAGTTTAACATCATCAAAAATATCGGGAAACAAATCCGTTTTTTCATCCAATTTTTTTTTTCTACTGTCAAAGGGCTTGAACCTTCACCAGATTTTCTCTAGTCTAGTTTGGTTTGTTCTTCGTTGAATGAATCTTCTACTCTACATTCACCAGCAATGCAACACTACCAATCTTAACATGAAAGCGGTGATTCTACCTAATTTTATCCCAACAAATTATATCTATATATACCAACGAAAAGAACAATGGTCATAGCCTGATTGGTTGTGGCTGTGGCTTTAGATTTTTGGCTGTAGAGTTTAGGCTGTAGGTTTTAGTGCTGTGAATTTAGTTTTTAGTGCTGTAAGATTTTTTTTTTGTAGATTGTGTATTAAATGAAATATTAAAACAAAAAAAGAAGATATAGAAATAAGAGATTAAAAAAAGAATATAGACAAAATAATAAGGAAAGAGAAGAGAGAGAATTTAGAGAGTACTAAATTTAGTGCTCTAGAAAAATTGCTTTCCACAGCTACGGAACTTCCATAAATAAATAAAATTGTTCTATGTTTTAAAAATGGAAAGAGATAAAAGGAGAGCATGATTGGTAATTTTGGAGTGTTGTAGAGAGATATAGAGCTGTGGAGAGCAACCACAGCTCCTACCAATCATCCCCTAGATTTTATAATTTTACTAGGGGGTAACCCGCGCTACACGCGGGTTGTGTTAGTTTTATTATTTTTCCTCAAATTTAATAGTATTTCAAAAATATTACACACATTACTTAAATATAAATTAAGTTAGGCAAAAAATTTGTATCATCTTGTTCCATCTCTCCCATTTCGTTCATTTCCATCATGTACGTTCTTTCCTGTCCTGTTCAGTCCCATCCTATCCCATTATATTATTTCCATTTTGTTTATTCTCGTCTGGTTCCCTAAATATAATTAAGGGTAAACATAATTATATCCCATTCTGTTCATTTTCATCTTGACATGTTCTTTCTCATCCCGTTCATTCTGTCTGTCACATTCAGTCCCATCATATCTTATTATGTTCATTTACATTTTGTCTTATATCTATCTCATCTTTAAATATAATTAGGGGTAAGCAAAATTCCCGTCCCATCTCTTTCCGTTCCATTATGTCATTTTTCATCTGGTCCCGTCCAATCCCTTCCCATCCAATTCCATCACATTCTGTTCCTTTAGATCTCGTCTTGTCACTTAATATCATAAGAAGTAAACAAAATTCCCCTCTTCTCCGATTCTATTTTTTTCGTCTCGTCATATTCAATCTCGTCTCTTTTCATCCAAAAATACTATAGAAAAACAATATCCTTTGTATAATATTATTATTATTAAATAATAGTTTTTTAAGATATATACAAAACATTTATTTTCTTTTATAAAAATGACTTTTCAAATTCTTGCAAAAATTATTGTATTATTTAGTGATTATATTAATAAATGATCATAAGAAATTAAAATTTAAAAAGAGAAAATATAATAAATTAAAATTAAGAAATACGATGCTGATGTGGCAATTTGGTGAATTTAGAGATAAATTTTTATGCTGACGTGGCAGCACCAGAATAGAATTGCATGAACTTTATATATAGATAGATAGATATAGTACAATAGAAAAGTCGCTTTGCATAAGAATGTTCGAGGCCTATATTATATTTACTAGGAATTGTACCCCTGCGCAAGCGCGAGGTTGTTTGCATATATTTTTGGTTGTTTATCATCATTTATATACTTTACAAATTGTGCTCTAAATGTTTTTCCTGTATATATGATATTGATGTTTATTTATTAAATATTTCTACAAACAAAAAAATTTAAGTGATTTTTTTTTCAAATTTTAGAAATAGTCAATACTTTAGTTTTTTTTTTAAAATCAAAATCAATAATATACTTTTATATATAACTTATTTTTATTACTCAAATTTACTTCTTAGCTTTCAACAGTTAAATATTTTCCATTTACATACACTATCGTTTTACATAATATATATTATTATTATGAATTTTAGAAATTTTCAATTTTCAGTACACTGTTTTCTTTTAAAAATAAGTCTCTTGCATCTACTGTTAAAAAATAACTTTTAATCTTTTAAATATTAAGTTCAACCAAATTTTATTTATTTTTGTCTTTTATACTCCATCCGTTTCATAATAAGTGTCGTTTTGACAAAATGAATTTAGACTATTTAATGATGTATCTGGATGTGTTTTGAGTCTTAATACATCCATATACATTTAGATACATTGGGTAAGTGAAAAGTCAAAATGACACTTATTATGAAATTGAGGGAGTATTTTTATTAATCATTTCTTGTTTTAATACATTTTAATACTTTTGGTTGAATAATAAATCAATGATATTATGAAAGTGTATGTATTAATTGAATAATTAAATTTTATTTAATTAATTTGTATTTTGTTTTGTTGATGTGGACACTTTAAAATGAGAGAGCAACTCCCTAATTATATATAAGATTTAAAATAGAAAAATTTATGTTTCAAGTTTCTGACTGATAAGATGTGGTCAAACCAAAGATCTGTGTAGTAACGCTTTGGTCTAATGGAAATAATGATTTTGAAACAGAAAAAAAAAGATCCGGTCAAACAACAAGGGAGAATTAGGTGAATAATAATATTGGGTATCAATATTAAGCTTATAGCCATTATAAATGGAAAATTAAGTCAATAGCAATGAGAATTAATTTTGGACGGTTTTGTCCTTCTCTAAAGAAACTGATATTGACACAAAAGCTGCGCGAGTATCTTTCGAAACTTCAATGACGAACTGGGTTTATCTCTGCCGCAACTAAATACAATTCGATATGGAAATAATTGGAGGCTATCTAAAAGACAAATTAGCGATGGCTAGCTTCACAACATACTGGGCAATACAAAAGGGATTGCGATACAGTTCGGATTGCCAAAGTTTGGTTTTCATGATTCATAATAGTGGCCAATTGATCTCGATTTTATTTACACCCAAAAATCATAGAAAAACTTAGATGTAATCGAAGCAGAAAAATAGATTAAAGAGAAATTGAAGATGTCGTGAGAGAAAAAGAGTAGGAGAATACAAGAAAATCTCATTGCTCTCTTTTATCATGTAGGGTTTGGTTATTTTGGTATTATTATAGAAAATATGTGATATATTCTAGCCATGTCCAAATAATGGTTATTCACTTAATTATATGTTTTATTATTGTCATTTACTGCTATTTCCCAAACAACAATAAACCACCCAGAAAAAAAGAAGAACAATGGCTATAGCCAAACCACTGGCTCCAAGTTTTATTTTTACAGAATTCAAAAATATCAGTTAAAAATGTAAAAAGAATATCAAATATGTTTATATAGGAATCGAACATGTGATTTAAGTAGAGCCGGTCAAAGGAATAAGCATCTGATTGTGACCCGGTTCTAAATATATACTTTTATCGGCCCATATTTTACCAAAACTTTTTGGCAGCCTAGTGGTATAGGTCTTTCTCAACTGACTTCAGCAGTCTGAGTTTGACTCCTTCTCAATACTTTTACTATATTTTATTTTTTTCTCTCTTTTTATACAAAATCCGGCCTAAATTTTTTTAGGGTTGTGGCCTATCACATGTCGGGACGGCTCACGATCCAAAATGCCAAAAGTTACCAATTGTAGTAGTTGACTTGTCTCTAGCTTCTTTAATGGGTCTGCCACTACGAGATTTTTTAGTAAAATAGATTTTGAGAGATGATGCTCTCTGTACATACTCTCCTCTAGGGATCTATAAAGAAGATGACAACACTGGGAGCTATAAAAGGTATGCTACTATATATCATACTTGTTTCTCAGAAAATAATTGTTTTTATGTTTTGGCAAAAAAAAAATGTTCGTATGTGGAATATCTGATTTTGAGAGATAGACAGTTGATAAGCTTCAAAGGTTGAGACACTTCTAGATTCTTTTGTATTGTCTAAGTTGATATTTCCAGTATACGAGGGAATATTCTTCGGTGGTTTTTGAAATTTTTTTTTATCTATGTTCTAGTTTTATGGTTGATCTTATATTCCACGGCAAAGTTGATTTTCTTCCTGTCAATAATCATATCTTATATATAATGAGAGGCCAACTCTCTTCAGCTGATCGACATGTCAGCACTAGGGAGAGTTGGCCACGTGTCAGCCTCTCAGATTTGTCACTCTTTTCTCAATTAATCGAAGCTTCACCACTCGCGTTTCATCTCATCTGTCTCTCCTCGGGAGACCCGGAGGGTCAATTCACTAAAACCGTTTTCTGGAAAATGTTTACAAAAAAATCTTTGGGCCCAAAGTTTTAAAAATAAATTTCAAATCACCAACCTAGCTTGAATCTAGTTCTGTTCCTTCAATTGTTGTGTGGTCGTCGCGTTAAATTAAAATTGAACTTCTGAAGACTTTAAGGAAGGGTGTTTTTAGTGTTATCCGGGTTTCGTGTTTCCCAAGTTTTGAGGTCGTTTGACAATGACGGGTTTGTCTATGTGTCAGTACGTTTTAGCTGAGGAACCGGTTGAGTGGTTCAGAGAGCTAGGATGGGTGGGTCTATAGAGCCAGAGATTCGTACGTGTGGTCGAAATACTGGAGAGAATTGTGTACCGACATAGACTTAACCTTAGTGCCTTTCGAGAAACTTTCGAGCAGCGTTCTGTTCTTGAGCTTTGTGCCTTGTGAGAGAGTTACAGCGGAGATCTATGGTGGTCGTAGAATTCGGGACGAATTCCTGTTAAGTGTGGAAGAGTTGTGACATCCCGAATTGTCAAAGATGGGCCCATTTTAAAACATGTTTCTAAGGCCCATTTAAGCCCATGTCGTTGCTCTTTTGGTGAGTGTATCGAGGGTTTTCGTCTCCACCAACGCCGTCGAAGAGAAGAGAAAATGGAAGAAAAAAGAAAGCGAGAAAAGAGAAGAAGAGGAAGAGAGAGAGGAAAGCTCTCGTGTGGGAGAAGAAGAAATGTCTTGTGAGAGAGAAGAGAAGAAGAAGAAGAAGAAGAATAAGAGAGGAAGAGGGAGAACGAGAGAGAGCGAGAGTGTGGCCGTGAGAAAATCCAGAGAGAAAATGGTGTGAGAGCCATCGTAAGGAAAAGAGAGGAGGAGAAGGAGAGAGAAAGCTGAGGAGAGAGAGAAGGGGAAACCAGAAGTGAGGGAGAGAAGAAGAACCGTGAAGAAGAAGGAGAAGAGGGATAGAGGAGTTTTACCGTGAGCCATGACGGAGCCAATGTCGGAGACCACCGATCATCACCGCCGGCCACCACCTTCACCACCATGTGATCCGAGCACCACCGGAAGTCGCAGCCATCATCGTCGGAGCTTCCGATCTGCCGCCGCAAGCTCAAGCCGTGAGGATTAAGAGTGCACCTCTGTGCTTCTTGCGCAGCAAGCAACCCATCTCCACGATGTCACGTCCGTTTCATGTTCCGATCACTTTCCGATCAACTTTTAGGCCAAGGTGAGGATGAATCTTCACCGTTCCTTAATATGTGTTATTCTATATTATTTAACGCTAAGAATTGGTTTAAACCAAGTATAACCTTGTTTGTTGTTTGTAAACCCTAGTATTATTTTAGGAGCCCATAGTTGTGTTATATGATTATTTAGTTAATTAATTATATTTTACTGGGTGAATTTGAATTTTTTCATTCATGAAGAATTATGTGTGAAATTATTTATGGGTATAAATAATTTGTTTCTTGTTATTAATAATTATATTATTTTTATTATTGTGTATTAATATTTATATTGGATTATATAAATATTTCTGGAATTGATTGTGAAGGATTTCTTGATTGATGAATGTTGAAGAACATATATCAAATATGGATTAATTAATGATCGGACATGGTATTTAAAACGGTTGAGTTAAAAGGATCATTGTTGAGTGTGGTGGTGTGTGATGGTTAATATATATGTATGTATATATATAAGTGTTTATATATAAAGTTATATGTTGGACGCTTAGTGAGAAGCGTGTTAGTTAGTGGCGGTTTAAAGTACCGTGCAACACAGGTAAGGTGGAGGGATTGTGGAAGGCGTGTGGCGCACCATAGTGGATCCTCTTGCTTGGTGTTGGTGTTTGCTGGATGTGGGGTAGATAAAGGTTTCTCTTACCCCAATCCATCGTCGGTGGCTTGACGAGCCAGGCGTCTTGAAAGAGAGGCGGACAGCGATGTGGCGCTTTGTACCACGGGGGTGTGTGCAGTGATGCGCGGATACATCCAGGGTGTTGAGTTACTGGAGCAAGATACTACGGGGTGTTGTGCCGGTATTTGGTAGCTTCACACGTGGTTGAGCTTGGCTGGACAAGAAACATCACCGTTACAGACCATATTACGTGTTGGGTGCATAGTCCCTCTAGGAGGTTGTTGCGTTATACAGCGTGTGTGGTGTTACATACTGTATGAGAGGTGACTCATGGTTTGTGTTGTATACACGGCGTGTGTGTGGTGATTCACTGTATGTGCCGTGTTATACACCGTCCTCCGTGTGAAACTATATCGTATGATGTGTTATACACTGCGTGTGTTGATACACACCTTATGTGTGGTGATTCATATATGTGTGGTGATGCACCGTATGGTTATGTTCACACCATATGTGTGGAACTGCATGGTATGAGTTGTGTAATGCAGCATGTGTGCTAGTTCGGCGTTGTATAGATGACGTCTTGTTTGATGCTGTTTTAGCATTAAGCCTCGGCGTTTGTTTTATAGCGTTTCGTATGTTGGGCCCGGTTTAGATTCATTCTCCTGGGTAATCTAAATTACTCACCCCCTTCCTTTTTCCCTTCTGTGTTTCCTTTTCTTGCAGGTAGTACAGAAGTGTTGATTCAAGTATAAGTTGGTGGATTTTGTTAAAGAACATCTTGGATTTGGGACCATGGTTATGACATCGCGGTTTAAGCTGGTTTAGCTTGTAACGGATGTCCTGATACGCCATCGTTCTCGGGAGTCCGGGTGACGGGTGTCACCTCATGGCTTCTCATTTGACATGTGTCCTTTCAAATTTCTAATTTTTTTTTTTTTTGCTTTTTTCGAATATAATTAATTTTTTTTTTAATGTTTTTTCCTTTTTCCTAAATCCACCACGATCCCGAATTCTTCTCTCCAAACCCACCATCTAAAAACTTATCTCAAACATCCACGATCTCCATATTCTCATTGTATTTTATTTCACTCTAATCTCATCAGTCTGTAAATTGATTTTCTTCTTTCTTCTTCTATCCATGAAAATTAATGTTATGGAATTTAATATATACCCACTCATAAATTCACAAATGGATTGTGTAGACACAATGCAAAGCAAATACACCACGAAGGTTTTCACTCTTCACACTTTATAAATGATGCGGATAAAATTGTAAATGAAGTTTTTCGTTTGTTAAAATTGTAAATGAAGAAGAAGGCAATCAAGCGATCTGTCGGAGAAGACCGTGTGGCGGCATTTTTTGGGGTTGTTTTGTAATGAAATTAATTTTGGAGGACTGGATGCGAAATATTTTCTCTGATTTTTTTTTTTAAGAAGGGTGCGCCATACATGGCGGACGCTGGAGAGAAGTTATCCTCTCATTATATATAAGATAAATGTCACATATACGATTTTTTTTTTCTCTAGATGAGGACTATAAATAAGATTCATATCCGTGTGTGTGTGGAACGTGGTACATATATATGTGTTGGGACTTTGGGAAATTACGACGTGATTTTCCAGAATCTTGTTCTATTTTTTGAAGAGCAAGATTTTTTTTCCAAAATTTAACACCTTCCATAGAGACGAGAAGGACGTGAAATCACCTTGAGGATCGGAAGAGAAACTGGAGTTGTCACCAAACGGAAAGACCATGTGTTGTTGAAAATCCTTTATAAGAAAAAAGGAAAGACGATGTGTTGTTCTTAGTTGTAACACCCAGAACCGGTTCGGTTTGGAAAATGTGACGTTGGTGAAGAAACAACTTGATTTTGAAAAATGTGGTTTTTTAACAATGCTTACGAAACTCCCAAAATCAAGTGATGTTACTTAATCTGGTAAGATGCAGAACCGGTTTGGTTTAAGTGATTTTTTAAAGATGCAAGGACTTGTTTGGTCCACAGATAAACCGACTCATTTAGAAAATATAACCGTTAAGAGAAACGCGTTGTCAAACGCAATAAAACATCCTCTCTCATTTTTATTTCCTCAGTTCTTCACAGAAAAGTTCGTCTTTTTCTCCCAAATTTCTTCCTCTCCTCCGTTTTCATTTTTTCTTTCAAAGAATTCTCTCGATCGACTCTTCGGAGATTTTCTCCCAAAATTTTCTGTTTGTTTCCTTTCGAAGCAACCTACAAGCTTGATTCCGGAAAGCGACCCGATTGGCTGGATTTCTCAATCGTCGTCAAGGTTAGGGTTTCTAAATCTCATGTATCGCGATTTGTTTAGGTTTTTAAAATTTCGTAACCGTTCAAAGATGAATTTTTGCAGCGATCGTTGGTTAGGGGTTGGATGCTTCTTTCACATCGCCGAGGTAATTTCTCTTTTTCATGTTTTGGTTTTCAATTTCTTTGGTGATTTTGAGGGTTTTTGTTCTCCGACTCCGACTATGCCTTGGGTTTCCAATTTTGTCAGCGATTTTTAAGTTTTCGTTCTCCGATTTTGCTTGGGTTTCCATTTTCCAATTAAATTAAGATTCCAATTTCGTTGCTTTTGTTCTTGTTCTGCAATCTTAAACATATAGTTCTATTTTGGTGGAACAGCTTCTTGGCAAGTCAAATAGTGAACATCAAGATGTGATCTTCATTGATGGCCCCTGGATATGTTTTGGTGAAATTTGCACTCAATTCTGATTGTCATGGCTCTCGCAATATTGGTGAGTGTCAATAGATAAGGCTACGGTATCGTTATCATCTTTTGCGGCATTATTTAGGTTCCTTTTATGACCTGTATATGAATGGATCCGTATTTTTGTTAGATTTCAGGAATCTCAAATGGTTTCATCACCTCTATGTTTTGTTTTTAATTTCAGGAACCTCGCAAAAATCAGATGATAGAATCTGTTTTTAATCTGTTTTTGCTGAATTTTCTAGCCAGTTTAAGAGCATTTTGCACTCAGTTCTGATCGTCATGGTTCTTACAATATTGGTGAGTGTCAATAGATAAGGCTACGGTATCTTTATCATCTTTTGCGCCATTATCTAGCTTCTTTTACGACTTGCATGTGAAATGATCCGTATTTTTTTCACTACATTGTTAGATTTCAGGAATCTCAAATGGTTTCATCACCTCTATGTTTTGTTTTTAATTACAGGAACCTCGCAAAAATCAGATGATAGTGTCGCTTGGATCTTTGTTCTGCTGCTGGAGTTATTGCCTTGCAAAGAACACGTTCTCGTAAGGTAAGATTCTTTATTTATCTAAGCAATCAACAAACTCACCAAAACAAGCACTATTCTAATAGTGTTCTGGTTTTGCTCTTCCCTTTTAAAACCCCAAATCAGATCATAGAGAAGCACTAATCTAATGGTGTTCTGTCAAATTCTCGTTTGGGAACATTGTCCCGTTGCTTCAAGTCGGTCATATATGGATTGGTAGTGCATGATGTTAGAGGATGGATAATTAAAACCCTAAATAAGATCATAGAAAAGCACTAATCTAATAGTGTTCTGTCAGATTCTCGTTTGGGAACATTGTCCCGTTGCCTCAAGTCGGTATATATGGATTGGTAGTGCATGATGTTAGAGGATGGAATTAAAACCCCAAATAAGATCATAGACAAGCACTAATCTAATAGTGTTCTGTCAGATTCTCGTTTGGGAACATTGTCCCGTTGCCTCAAGTCGGTTATATATGGATTGGTAGTGCATGATGTTAAAGGATGGGGAATTAAAACCCCAAATGAGATCATAGACAAGCCAATCTAATAGTGTTCTGTCAGATTCTCGTTTGGGAACATTGTCCTGTTGCCTCAAGTCGGTCATATATGGATTGGTATGGTAGTGCATGATGTTAGGGGATGGAAAAATTAAAACCCCAAATGAGATCATAGACAAGCACTAATCTAATAGTGTTCTGTCAGATTCTCGTTTGGGAAACATTGTCCCGTTGCCTCAAGTCGGTTATATATGGGTTGGTAGTGCATGTCTAAGGAAGGATGGAAAATTAAAAAGTCTTCATTGATAAGACGATGGATCTGTTTTCGGTTTGTTTGGATGGAACGGAGAGGATAATGAGGGATTAAGAAAGTCTTTAGGCAAAAGACTACAAACTGAAAACAGATTCCTTAACCCACGGCTTAAAAAAGTATTGTCTCAGAGACAATGGGTCCAGTTTACATGATGGATGGATCAATTAACCAGCGGCTTAGACAAAAGTCCTTGACAAAGACTATGAGTTGGGTTTTCGACTTGTGGGATGGGAAAAAAGAAAGATTGATGGCTTAAAGAAAACTTGTGTGTGGGACGGAATGTAAAACAACCAACGATACAGACTATGAGCTGAGAAACTATTATGTTCCGGGAACCACAAGGCTCAAAAGTAGAGAAAGACTATGAGTTGGATGGATCTAACGACCAATGGCTGAAAAAGTCTTAACGCAAAGGCGTATAAGTTGGTTTTCCTTTTGTTGGAAAGAAAGACCAATGTCTTAAAGAAGGCTTGTTTGGATGGAAATTATAACGACCAACCGGCTTGGGAAAGTCTTAAGACAACAGAAAGAAAGACTATGAAGGCTTGAGAAAGTCTTAAGACAACTGAAAGAAAGACTATGAAGGCGTGAGAAACTCTTAAGACAACTGAAAGAAAGACTATGAAGGCTTGAGAAATTCTTAAGACAACTGAAAGAAAGACTATGAAGGCTTGAGAGAAAGTCTTAAGACAACCGAAAGAAAGACTATGAAGGCTTGAGAAAGTCTGAAGACAACTGAAAGAAAGACTATGAAGGCTTGTGGGTTTTGATTTTGTTGGAAAGAAAGACCAATGTCTTAAAGAAGGCTTGTTGGATGGAAAATATAACGACCAAGAGGGCTTCAGAAAGTCTTACGACAACAGAAAGAAGGCTTGTTGAAAGAAAGACTATGAAAGCTTGAGAAAGTCTTAAGACAACAGAAAGAAAGACTATGAAGGCTTGTTGGTTTTCATTTTGTTGGAAAGAAAGCTTGTTGGATGGAAAATATAACGACCAACAGGATTGAGAAAGTCTTAAGACAACTGAAAGAAAGACTATGATGAAGGCTTGTTGGTTTTCATTTTGTTGGAAAGAAAGACCAATGTCTTAAAGAAAGCTTGTTGGATGGAAAATAATAACGACCAACAGGCTTGAGAAAGTCTTAAGACAACAGAAAGAAAGACTGAAGAAAGACTAATGTCTTAAAGAAGGCTTGTTGGATGGAAAATATAACGACCAATAAGGCTTGAGAAAGTCTCAAGACAACAGAAAGAAAGACTATGAACCGATACTAGACAGAGACTTATCATTTTGATGGATATAACAACCAAATGGCCGAAAAATGTTCTAAGACAAAAAGACTATGAGCTGGTCTTCATTTGGTTGGAAAGAAGGACGATTTTCTGAAATAGGTTATCCAACAGGCTTGAGAAAGTCTTAAGACAACAGAAAGAAATTTGGATGGATATGACGACCAAATGGCCGAGAAAGGTTCTAAGACAAAAAGACTATGAATTGGTCTTCATTTGGTTGGAAAGAAAATCTGTTCTTCAACAGGCTTGAGAAAGTCTTAAGACAACAGAAAGAAAGACTACGCAACCGATTCTTTACACTATGGCATATAAGTGAAGCAAAGACTACGCAACCGATTCTTTACACTATGGCATATAAGTGAAGCAAAGACTAATTAATTTTGATTTATACAGGTATGTGCTTCAGAAGGTGTTCAAGTGTTCGAGACTCTTGAAGAGATGTAGCAGACTTCAATGATAGGTATGTGCTTTTCAAACTTGCTTGCTAATTAGTTGATACAATTATGAAGTCAGAGAAACATACTAGTTTTGATCTTCACTGGACTGATTCTTGAGTAAGTTTCCAAATATTTAGGAGATTTCTAAATGTTAACATACTTTTGTAACTGAATAAAGACTATTTTTTTTTGGTTCAGGTATATGCTTCATATAAGGTGTTCATATTCTCAGGGAGGCAAGTTTGGTGATTTGATGGATTCTTTTCTTTCTTTCAGTTTTTACATTTTAGGTGATAAGTTTGGCTTCCATCGAACTGAGTTTCCTCAAACAGGTTATATGGTGGATTGTAATCAGGTAAGACTTATACTTTTGTAACTTCTAATGTATTTCTGTGCCCCTTATAAAGTTGCTCAACTGTGTATTTCTAGGCAGGTGTGGGACTTGTGCTCTCAACTTAATTCTTTAGCGGAGTCAGAAACAGAAGGTAAATATGGAACTGCACTGCTTCTTAACCAAGCACCCTAAGTTAACTTTTCTGACCACAAATATTTGAGTTCTGCAACCGCTGGAGGACTTCTCTAGTCTCCGGTATATCTATCTCAGAAATTTCACAATACTGAAACAGTTACATGTTTCTCAACATAGTCTATGTGTTTTTTTTGTCTTTTTCTTCCGCCAGCTTTCGGTTCATGAACTGTTCACACTGCAAGTAATACTATCACTTTGCAGGTAACTTGTGTATCTGTTGGTAACTTGTGTCTGCCACTTTGATGTCTAGCTTTTTAATTTTTGTTTATTTTGTGTTACCCGCAAATGGCTGATTCTTTATGTTTCCTCCTTCATGAAGGCTGGCTAGTTCCATGTTGCTCTATCCATGATCTTAAAACTGATCAAGGTCCGCTAGAGACCATAGCTTTATCTTTTCCCCATAAATTTCTTATACTATTCTGATGTAATATCATTTGGAGATGAACATTTTTCATACCATAAGCATCATATCATGTTGATTGAGTGGAGCGCTCATGAAGCCTACACTTGCAGTTTATTTCAATGAGCTCAATGTGATTAGGTATATCCTTAATAAATCGATATTAGTACATATGAGACTCTTGCAGGCTAGTTTCTTTGAATCTTAAATGTATCTATCTCTCTTGACTAGAAATGTGTATTCTCTTTGTTTTGGTGCTTGCGTGTATTCTCTATGTTTTGGTGCTTGTATCAATTTGTATAGTTTTCCTGTATCAATTGATATAGTTTTCTTGTATCAATTAAGTATAGTTTGCGTGTATCAATTTAAAGATATATATCTTAATATCTATCTCTCTTGCTTGCGTCACTCTGTTTTGCTGCTTGCGTGACTAGAAATGTATTTTCTCTTGACCAGAAATTTGTATTCTCTCTGTGTATTAGAGTCTTGCAAACTGTTGTAGCAGTTTCTTTGAATCTTGAATTTATCTCTCTCTCTTGACTTGTTAGAAAACATTGTATTTCTCTCTGTTTTGGTGCTTGTATACATCGTAAGGTCTATATTGGATTCTCTGTAGATAATTATATTGAATGTAAGCGAGAATCTTTCAAACTATTGTAGTAGTTTCTGTGAATCGTGAATGTATTTTTCTCTTGACTTGTTAGAATATATTGTATTCTCTCTGTTTTGGTACTTGTATGCATCATAAGGTCTATCTTGGATTCTCTGTAGATAATTATATTGAATGTAAGCGAGAGTCTAGCAAACTATTGTAGTAGTTTCTTTGAATCTTGAATGTATTTCTCTCTATTGACTTGTTAGAAAATATTGAATTCTCTCTGTTTTGGTACTTGTATGCAGTGTGGGTCTCTCATTTTATGAACTGGATACGTTGTAGTGTTTCTTGTAAGTATCTATGTTTCTTGATGTAAGAAAGACTCTTGCAGATTCTCGTAGTAGGTTGCTTGATCTTGAATGTATATTTTTGGACATCCTCGCAAATGCATAATCATACATATGATTGTTTTGTTAGATTCTAAAAATTCTAACCATTGAAGATATTTCTGTTAGGGTACTAGTGTATATCACTTAGTCTTAATTGAGTTGAGGGAAGCTTGGAAATCTATTGCATCAGTAGTGTAATATTTTAGAATGTGCAATGGATCTTTCGTGATTCTCCTACCATGTATTTATTTTTGTCTTTGATAAGATTTTTCTTAAGGTTGATGTCGAAATCAAGAAACTATAGGTATGTTTAAATTCCAATTTTATCACCCTCATTGTAAGCATGTGACATAGGTGGGTCTAGTCTTCTTTGGTTGACTAAATATTCTAGATGGGTCTAGTCTTCTCTGGATGACTAAATATTCTATTTTCTTCAATACTCTGTTTTGGTGGTTGTCGGAATTATACATTTATTTGGGTGTGTAATAAGCTCTCTTAAGTATTAGTGTATTACTATCCTTGATCTATTATCCATCATATTATAGAAACTTATTGCTAGTATAATAATTGATAAAAGGGTAGATTTTCTTTGGTATTGGTACAATACATTGTGTGTACAGTATACCGTGTCAATGATCTCTTGATTACAAAACTTTTATATCTCTGTTTTGGTGTTTGCTCTCATTTTTGAAGTGGATATATATTAGAGTCTTTGTAGATAATTAGTTTGAGTGTAATTGAGACTCTTTCAGGCTAGTTTCTTTAAATCTTAAATGTATTTATCTCTCTTGATCAGAAATGTGTATTCTCTGTTTTGGTGCTTGTATCAATTTGTATAGTTTGCGTGTATCAATATATAGATATATATCTATCTCTCTTGCTTGCTTACGTGACTAGAAATGTATTCTCTCTTGACTAAAAATGTGTATTCTCTCTGTGTATGAGTCTTGCAAACTGTCGTAGCAGTTTCTTGGACTCTTGAATGTATTCTCTATGTCTTGATGCTTGTATGCATTATAAGGTCTATGTTAGATTCTCTGTAAATAATTATATTGAGTGTAAGCGAGAATCTTGCAAACTATTGTAGTAGTTACTTTAAATTTTGAATGTATTTCTCTCTTGACTTGTTGGAAACCATTGTATTCTCTCTGTTTTGGTACTTGTATGCATTGTGGGTCTCTAATTTTATGAATTGGATATGTCGTAATGTTTCTTGTAAATATATATGTTTCTTGATGTAAGAAAGACTCTTGAAGATTCTCGTAGTAGGTTGCTTGATCTTGATTGTATATTTTTGGACATCCTCACAAATGTGAAAGGACATCCTTACAAATGCACAATCGTACATATGATTGTTGTGTAAGATTCTAAAAATTCTAACCATTAAAGATATTTCTGTTAGGGTACTTGTGTATGTCACATAGTCTTAATTGAGTTGCGGGAAGCTTGGAAAATCCATTGCATCAAAAACGTAATATTTTAGAATGTGCAATGGATCTTTCGTGATTTTCATACCATGTATTTATTTTTGTCTTTAATAACATTTCTTTAGATGTCGAAATCAAGAAACTACAAGTTACCAAAAAAAATCAAGAAACTACAAGTATGTTTAAATTCCAATATTATCACCCTCATTGTACGCATGTGACATAGGTGGTCTAGTCTTCTCTGTTCTTTTGGTTGACTAAATATTCTATTTTCTTCAATACTCTAATACATTTATCAGTTCTCACCCTCATTATACATCATGATACATTTATTTGGGTGTAATAAGCTTTCTTTCATAACGTGCGGAACAATCAAGTGAAAACCCTAGAAGACTTGTGATCTTTTTTGTTTGACTTGACTTGTGATATATTGGTAAGCCCGAAGCTTTCTTATCAGATCTTGAACTGAAGCAACGCAGACTTCTCACCGAGTCCTCTCGCCATGTAAAACTTTATATACTCCGTCATGGTTGTCTCTCTATACTTTGGAGGGTTTTGTTCAGACAAAAGCTCTTTGATCGGTCCATAAACTCGCGCAAACGGTAAGGGATACACATAAAAAGCCGCCACCGAAATCCGCGGCTCTTGACTTCTATTAGCCAAAACTCTATGCTCCACACTTGCAAACTTGTCATTCGTTATAAGCTGTTAAACCAAAAGATTCACACAACTGAGTATTGATTCTATCCGAAAACGATTTGGTTTAAGTCACAACAACAACTTGCCTGCAAGAAATCTCCGGGGTTCACTATAAGAGCTCCAGGAACATGAGGAACATCAACCCAAGAACCATTCTGAAGAAACTGAAGCCCACCAATGTGATCTTGAAGAAGAATAGTGAGGAAAGATATGTCTGAATGCTGACTTGTGCCGAATGTTCGATCAGGCTCAGGACAAGGCGGGTAATAATGAGAGAGCATCAATAAACCTTTCATGCAATCCATTTCTTTGAGGTGATTACGATCAAGCCCTAAAGCTTCTGATAAAAGCTCAAAGATTAACTCCCCTAGTTTCATCACTCCCTTCGAATACTCCAACAATATTTCCCTAAAATCAAACATTCTCACCAACATGAAACCAAAGTGTCGATCTTTAAACTAATTAAGACAGTAAACTATACAGATTAGTAATAAGAGAAATCGTAAATTTCGTACCTGTGATCTCTCCTATCGATCTTTCTTCTCCTACTAATATATATATGTTGTATTTCTAAGGGTATAAAATTTATTTGAAGAGAAGCTAATCGACACACATTGTTGTTCTTCATTTCCTTATTCACTCTTGTGTTTATGTTTTTTAATTTTCTTTTATTTATTCTTTTTCAAATTTTCCTATTTTTGGTTTCTTCTTAGTTCTTATTTGGTTTCTTATTTATCTTCACTCATCACTTCTTGGGTTATGCTCTTCTTTGTTCCTCATTTGTATTCTTGTTTGGCTTCTGCTTTTCTTCGTCTTCGCTCTTCTTTATTCATTCTTTGCGTTCTTATTTGGTTTCATTTCCTTCTTACTCTTTGTTTCCATGTTTTATTTATTCCTCTTCAATTTCTCCTACTTTGATTTCTTCTTTGTTCTTATTTATTTTTTAGTTGTCTTCACTGATATGTGCTTATGCTTTTCTTTATTCCTCCTTTGTGTTCTTTTTTTTCTTTTATGTCGTTCGTTCTTGTCTTAGCAAAATTTTAAATTTTAGAAAAAATCTTAGTATTAAATAAGTTTATGTGTACTAATAATATTAGTTGTTTAAAATTTAATATAACTAATTTACATAACAAAGTTTATTTTTGTTGTAATTAGAAAATGTAATTTCTTTATTTTCTAAATATTTAATTAATAAAATTTTCTTAAATATGCAAAGGAAAATAATTAATTGATTTTGGTGATGATGTGGAATGATACTATGGTTGTTTAAAATCATATATACTTAATTTCCTTATCTTTACATGTTTAAAATTTGTAAATTTCCTTAATCATTTAAATGTTTAATTAATTAGTTTTGGTGATGATGTGAAATAGTACATTTTATATGATGATGTGGAATGATACTATTGATTGTTTAAAATATGGAAAATTACTTAATCTTGGAGATGATTATTTGGACCAGTAAAATCATGTTTTTAAATTATATGATGATTTGGACTGATACTATTGGTTGTATAAAATTTTTAAGCTTTATTAATTTTGAACATGGTTATGTAGACCAATAAAATGGTATTTTAAAATCCCATGTGGACGCTCTTAGAGCCTTATAGCCTCAACTTTTATATAGTATAGATTAGATTCATACAAAGTGTTATACACCTAACCACATTTATAAAACCCAAAAAGGGAAACAAAGTCGGCGGAATGAGATCTAAATCCTCGGAAATAAAGCCTGTTGAAAGAGTTATACTACACTGGAAACAATACCCCAACACGGGAAACAACTAAAGCCACAACTAATCTGAATCTAAAACAAGAATCAAAGAAAGAGCAGTTTAAACCTTAGACTTGTTTGACCCTCCCAGCAAAACCGCCAAGTTAATCACCCGAAATAGCACAAAATACTTACCCCAAAAATAGGTTGGCAAGTTAAAAAATAAGGGGGAATTAGCAATTTACCCCAAAATGAAAGGGTTCTTATCCCTTTACTTCTTTTTTGACTTTGGTCAAGATTGCCCTTCAATTTATTTAAAAACTTATATTAAATGTTTTTTAAAGTGAAAAAAAAATTCCATAATTCCTAAAAATGATTTCAGTACTGTATAAAATATTTTGAACATTTTTTAAAATGCTTATGATATTAAAAAAATATTTGAAGTTTCGTTCTACAAATCTATAATAACAAAGTAGAATACATTTTCTACAATATATTCGGAGGTCTAACCGCCGTAGAACATAATATCTACAACTTATTCATACCTCTTCCGGATATAGAACTCGATATCTATTAAGTCTTATAGGCTCTACCGTTTTGTAGAATTTGCACCAAATATATTCTACACATTCAAGTATCTTCTACTACTCGTAGATTTTAAGTTCTACGCGAAACACTGCATTAATGAAAAATTGAAGAACATTTTGAAATAGGCTTCGATATTCGTTTTTTGGGTCGGGTTTGGATCGGTTACTTTCGGATTTCGGGTGTCTCGGTTCTAGAAATTTTAGAACCATTCACGTATTTTTTATTTTCGAGTTAGGTCCAGTTCGATTATTCCCAGGTTCGAATCGGTTCCGGGTTTCTAAACTTTAATTACAAAAATAAAATTAAAATTAAAAAAACTGTTTAATTTAACTGATTTTTTTAAAAAAAATTAGCAAAACAAATATTGAATAGTAACAAATATAACTAAATATTTTCGGATTTCTTGAATATTTTAGTTATTTTTTCTAAATATAATTATTATATTAGATTTATAATTGTAATTTTACATATTTTTGGATATATAATTATATTTTGAATTTTTAGATACCCATTGGTTTTCGGTTTGGTTTCGGAGTAGAAATTTAGGATATCTATTAGGGTATTTGTGTCGGTTTTGGTTCAGTTCGGTTTCAACTATGTTAGATTGGGTTCAGTTTGGTATTTCGGGTTCGGGTAAAAATGCCGAGACCTATTTTGAAATTTGGGGATACAACTGAATTTCTTTATAATATTTTAATTTTTTTTGTCAGTTACTATAACTTTAAAAAACAAAAACAAAAATTGGTAACTGAATTCCAAATGGACGGAATATAATTTACACACAAAACCTACTAACATCTAAATTTAGCGACGTAAATTTAGAAGATAACCAGACAAACAAAAAAGAAACATTTAGAGATCCAATCAATTCTGTTACGGCTTACAACATTGATCCAAATAATGTTAAAAGTAAAACTAAAATCATCTTTCATAAACAACAAATTAGAATTCAACAAACGATACAAAACGCTGAAAGAGAAGTATATATATCTACATTGGAATCTTGGGGACTAGCTAAGCCAACTCATCAGTGTTTCTTGGTTACCAAGTCTCTTATCATTAATATAATAAACTCACTTCCTCTTTTCTTCTTCATCTCATACACGTTTCCTTGTAGCTCTCCCAAAGATTTATTTTTGTATCGCAAAATATTTCATATGGGTGTGAAATCGAATTACAGTTCACATTTTCCTCTTCTTGGATGTATAATGGAAATTCTTTTTGGATTATATACGCCATTCAAGATATCGAATTCAAGTGATGCATGCAAATAAATTGTTGATACCGAGATCGCAAGGAATCTGGTAACTCGGAAACATTTAAGACAGCTACAGTGGATTAAGCTTGGTTAATTAGCCCTAAATATAAATGTTAATAATCCCTTAGGTTTTACTGCATTCAAAATATTTAAAAAAGAATCTATGTACAGTACTAGCAATAGCTTGTACGTAATAAGTTTCCTAATAGTACGATGTTTTATGATTTTCACATATACTGTATTAAGATGTTTTTGAGTGTGCCCACAAGTGTTAGTCGCTGTGCCAGCTAGTACGTCTTAGGTGGGAGCCAAGCCGAGTGGTTCATGGAACTAACGGTCAGAAATTATCATCAGAAATTCATGCATGTGGTCGAGCTAGGTCTGGAAAGGTATGTGCACTGACATGAATTTATCTCTGTTGTTTCACGAGGGACTTCAGACATATATACATTCATAAGACGTTTCTAGTGCACAGACCTCCGGAGTGTTACCACAAGTTGGGGACAATAGATATATCCTTTTGTGTCAAAATGCTCTATAAGAACAATATAAACTCAAATGACTGTGTGGGAATGAATCGAATACATGGAGTTGCTTTGATCACTATGTTTGATTAGTGCTATCATTGTCATATACAACTTTCTCACTGATCATATCATTTCTCTTAAGCATTTATCTTTGTGTTTTTTCGTTTTTGTTTTCGCGTCCGTTCATGATATTACGACTTGAAAAAATAGAGTGATACCACTTGACCAATCTCTTGTAGTGTAAGTAGAAATAAAATCAGAGAATTAGAGAGAAGAAATGAAGCGATGAAGGTGTATCGATTTAAGCAATGTGTAACACTCTAGACTGATTTGTATTAATTAAAATGTTTTGACTGGAAAAGTTTTTTTATGAAGTATCAGCTTCTTATAAAAATAAAATTCTGAATTGTCAATCATATGGAGATACATCCTATTTTTATAGTATTGATTCCAAGGTAAACCAAAACAAGTTGTTTTTATGTTTATATATTTGTAAATTTTGAAAAAAAAATTACATATATAATTTAATTTAAAATGCAATCTTTTTTAATAGTTAGTTTTACTAAACTATTTTTCTATTTTAGTCCTAAAATATATACATTGTATTTCAATTTCATAATTTTGACTGGTAAAAGAAAAAAAAAATACCTAAAAAAATTTCAAAGAATTTGACATATTGACCAGCAATAAAAAAAATTAAAATTTCACAGTTTAGAAATAATAAAAATCAAAAATGAAAGAAAATTTGGAAACAGTTAATTTAAAAAGGTTATATTTTATTAAAAACTGATAAAATAGAAATAGTAGATATTATTTGTAAATAATAAGATATTTTCCTAAACTTTCGGCCTGTCTATAGATATTCAAAGGTCATTTGGGAAAGTTTCAAATTAATAGAAGAAAGAAAAAAATTGAAATATAGTTGCCTATCTGAATAGATGTTATCAAATTAGGAGATTTTATTCTTCTTTTGAAAAATTGAAAGGCGCTCTTCCCCAACACCCGTCTTCTCATCTCGTCTCCTCTTCTTTATATTCCCACTTTCTTTCTTCCTCTCCACCACATCTTCTCTCTCGCTCTCACTCCTATTCTCTCTTTGCATTTCTCTCTTACATGGCTCAGTATCCCTGCAACGACGGAATCTGCATGCGTTGCAACGTGAAGCCTCACGAGGAGACTGAGTGTCTCTTGTGCAGCACTTGCGGTACGCCTTGGCACGTGTCATGTCTCACGTCCCCTCCCGAAACCCTAGAATCCACTCGAGAGTGGGAGTGCCCTGACTGCTCCGGCGACGTTGATCCCGTCCCGGTTTCCGGAATCGCCGGAACTGAATCCAACGGCTCGGTCCTTGTAGCAGCGATCCGTGCGATCGAGGCTGATGAGTCTTTGACCGAGGATCAGAAAGCTAAGAAGAAGCAGCAGTTGGTGAGTGGTAGATCCGATGAGGACGAAGATGAGAAAGAAAAAGAAAAGGAAAATTCTGGTGGAGATGTTGATGTTTTAGCTGCTCTTCGAGAGAACTTCTGCTGTACCATCTGCCTCGAGTTGCCTGAAAGGCCAGTCACGGTTTGTTCTCTACTTCTCTCTCTCAAACTCTTACTCTCTCTTTACTCACTCATAGATTAAATGACTCTTATGGATTCACCAGAATTTTAATATTGTTTTTGGATTGTATAGTTGTTTATGTTCTCATTCGCTTATTAGGGTTTGCTTGTGGTTTACACTTTTAAAATGAGACGTAAATATTTAAATTAAAGTCACTGTTAAAATGTTTTGCAGCCATTATTTTAAGAGTCTTAAACTAAAAGTCCTCACCAAATTTAGTGAATTCCGCTCTTAAATCCAGCAGGAAAACACTTACTTTATTTCTTGAATCGGTAATTACAGGAATGAGACCCAGATTGTGTCTTTAGTACTTTCTCGTTTTTCCAGTCTCTGTATATTTTGACAAGAATGATGATTAATATATAATTAACTAGTGCTAATGGATATATCTTGTACATGCCATTGCAGACTCCGTGTGGCCACAATTTTTGCTTAAAATGTTTTCAGAAATGGGTTGGGAAAAAGAAGTTTGAATGTATGAAATGCAAGAGTGCAATCCCAAGGAAAATGGTGAACGACCCTCGCATCAACGCTTCGCTAGTCTCTGCGATTCGTTTGGCTAGGGTTGCAAAATCTGATCATGTGGGGAATGCCAAAGTGTATCACTTCGTCAGCAACGAGAACCGTCCTGACAAGGCTTTCACAACTGAGCGGGCTAAGAAAACAAGCATGTCAAATGCTGCTGGTGGCAGGATTTTTGTGACAATACCACCTGATCACTTTGGTCCTATTCCAGCTGAGAATGACCCAACCAGGAACCAAGGTGTTTTAGTTGGAGAGACTTGGGCAGACAGACAGGTTTGTAAGCAGTGGGGAGCTCATTACCAGCACGTTGCTGGGATTTCTGGGCAATCACAGTATGGAGCGCAGTCTGTGGCACTCTCTGGAGGTTATAAGGATGACGAGGATCATGGAGAATGGTTTCTCTACACCGGAAGGTTTGCTTTTTTTTTTTAACTCACATTAGGAGTTGTCAGTTGTGTCTTTTGTCTTTGCCATGAATATGTGTGAATGTGTCTTGTAGTGGAGGAAGAGATCTAAGTGGAAACAAAAGAACGAACAAGGAACAGTCTTCTGACCAGAAATTTACAAACTCAAACGAAGCTCTTAGAATTAGTTGCAAAATGGGATACCCTGTCCGAGTTGTCAGGTTAGCTCAACATCTTTCTCACTTTTTGCAGTCTTTCTTCAACTTTCATTGAAGTGGACTGATTATTTTATACTCTTCACAAAGTTGTCTCAATGTTTTTTTTTCATGCTTACAAAATTATCAGGTCTCACAAGGAGAAGCGTTCTTCCTATGCCCCTGGAGAGAAAGGAGTGAGATATGATGGGATTTACAGGATTGAGAAGTGTTGGAGAAAAATTGGAATACAGGGTCTTATGCCCCTGCTTGATGCTGAGGCAATGCGAAAAAGTCAGGGAGATCTTGGGTGTGTTTCCAATCTGAAAAGGTTGTGCTTCCTGCCTTACGTTGCTATCAACAGGAGGTTTCGGCTGACTTGGTGTGTAGTTGTTGTCGTCCTCCGTCATCATCGTAGGTTTCGTTGAGATCAATGAGTAGAGCTCTCTTGGGTTTAGGCGTGGTTGTTTCTTGTGATGGCTGTTTGATGATAACGACCTCTTCTTTGTCGGCAGGAGGTAAGGCTAATTGGTTGAACATGAGCACGGCTATCTCTCTCTCTTCCTCCGTATTAGCTGCTCTTCATGATAATTTCTGCTGTACCATCTGCCTCCAGTTGCCTGAAAGGCCAGTCACGGTTCGTTCTCTACTTCTCTCTCTCAAACTCTTGCTCTCTCTTTACTCACTCGTAGATTAAATGACTCTTATGGATCGCTGGAATTTTAATCTTGTTTTTGAATTGTATAGTTGTTGATGTTCTCATTCACTTATTAGGGCTTTCTTGGGGTTTAGACTTTTAAATGAGACATAAATTAAAAAAAAAAAAGTTGCTGTTAAAATATTTTGCATGCAGTCATTATTTTAAGAATCTTAAACTAAAAGTCCTCAGCAAATTTAGTGAATTCCGCTCAAACTCCTGAAACTGTTCGTAATACTTAATTTAAATCCGCAGTAATACACACACTTTAATTCTTGAATCGGTAATTACAGGAATGAGACCTTGATTGTGTCAACGTGGGTACACGTCTGCCCTGTCCACCATTACCATGTGATTGAAAAGCACCTGCAAAACGTTATCAGAAAAGTCAAGAATTTGTGGATATGATTAATATGCGGAGAGTACAAGGCAAATGAATTACCTGCTTCTTCATGGTTCCGATAACATATCTCTTCCCTCTGATTCCATTGAATGCTAGCAGCGGTGGCTCAGGATTATTTGGCCTCGGATCACCGTTTTCTTCTCCGAATCTCGGCATAGCATAGTACACCCACACTTGCAGGACTTCAGCAAAGCCTTCGAGGCCGAATGGCTTGGACACGTCTGCATTCTTTACGGAATCGATGAGGGTCTTGAAAGCGACTCGCCCCCAGGGATAGTTTTCAAACTTCTCCAAGTCCATAACTTGACTAGCCAGTGCTACTCGTGTAGGAGTGGAACTTTTGTGAGCATCAATGAAGCCAGCGTATACGGCCAAAAAACCAAGTCTCAGCCTATCCTCTCTGCTCCACTCTCCGGCCCACTTGCACGCTGCTATGAGTTCGTCAATGCTCGGACCAAGCTTCTCATTCACACCAAGCTTCCGCCAGAACTCTTTCATCTCGTCTGTGTTAACAGTCTCTGGCTCAGTCACCGCTTCTATACTCGCAGTTAAGCCCGGTGATGTGTTCAAACTCGTTCAGAGAAAAACGCACTGGCTGTACACCCACGGCACTCCATATCTCATACTTCTTCTTGCAGGCCAGTTGCATACTGAGCATAATCTGTGCCACCTTCGATGCCCAATTAAACTCGAGCTTCGTGAACCTGAAGAGGGGTCCCAGCTTAGAATTCTCAAGCTCATCCCATTCCTCTTTAAGTGTGGTGTGCATTTGAGACCACAGCGCAGTGTTCTTGCTATAGTAGACAACACTGCGATCATAATCCGGTTCTTCTTCTCTTCTGTGTACAACCTCCTAGGAAATGTCACGGCGTCCATACTGAAAACACATTGAAAATATGAGAAATTAGGAGTCTACAATTCTACACGGCACAAATAAAGTCTAACTATGAAGTCTATAAATAAAGACAAATTTTAAAGTCTAAGTATGATGTCAACATACGAAGAAAGGAAGAGGAAGAAGAAAGCTGTGAGATGTGTCGACAAAATCAGATGATGGGCTCAAGTCAATGGGCTTACAGCTAAATCAACTCTTCTTCTATTGGGCTCAAGCCCATACAAGTGTTACAAGGAAAAGTTCGTATAAAAGCTGCTTCAAGACGTTTGACGCAGGTAACCTAAAAAAAAAAGAGAGAGAAGATCCGAGACCTGTAGAGCGGCGGTGAAGAGCTTTGGTCTGAATCTTTGTGTTTCTTCTCACGTTGTTATAGAGCTAGGTTCATAGTTCTTGTAATCTCCTTGTGGTACCTAAAACAAGGGAGATAACGTGAGTAAGAAGAGAGCTTGTATCTTGTAATCACTTGATTGATTCTAGTGGATTGAGAGTACCGTCCTCTCCCCAGACGTACCGAAAGGGAACTGGGTTAAAAAGTCTTGTGTCTTGCTAATATCAAACTACAACAAACGTGTCAAGGTTAATTTGATCGTAGTTAGCTTAAACACATTAGCTAAGATTGAGGTTAAATCTGATATTAAATCCTCACAAGTGGTATCAGAGCTCCGGGTTTAAGTAGAGGAGGATACGTTTTCAGTTTCTGATCTGTGGTTGGTGTTGTGACGGGAAGTTTCTAGGGGGTTCAGTCAAGTGTTTTAGAGACAGGAAGTATCAAGCAAAGTCTGAATCATGGAATCTACTCAAGGTAAAATTGACGTGGAAAAGTTTGATGGTAAAGGAGACTTTGGGATGTGGAAATTCAAGATGCAAATGCAACTTGAAAATCTGGGTTTGGATTCTGTTCTGGTTGAGGAAGAGTCCAGCAGCAGCAGTGTACCTGATAATGGCAAGGCAGTTGACGGTGAAGCTAAGTCTACTGTTTCTCCGGTTGATCCGCTGAAAAAGGAGAAAGACAAGAAGGCAAAGAATCTGATATGCTCCTGCCTTACAAATCTGGTCCTGCGCAAGGTAATGAGAGAAACAACAGCTTTAGGTGTATGGAAAGCTCTTGAAAAAGATTATCAAACCAAGACCTTACCAAACCGTATCTACTTGAAGCAAAGGTTTGCAAGTTTTAAGATGGAAGAGCACAAAAGCGTAGAGGATAATCTTGATGTGTTTCTTAGGCTTGTAGATGATTTAGCAAGTTTGAACATCAATGTGAGTGATGAGGATCAAGCGGTGCAGATTTTATCAAGCTTACCTAAGCAATATGACTCACTAGTTCATACACTCAAATATGGTAACGGGAAAGAAACGCTTACCTTGCATGAGGTTACAACTTCTGCATATGCCAAGGAGGTTGAGCTCAAGGAATCTGGGCTTCTTGGAAAGGCAAAGTCAGGTGCAGAAGCGTTGGTTGTGAGTAGAGGAAGGTCTAAGAAGAAGAGTTCTTGGCAGAACAGAGGTAGATCTAAGAGCAAAGACACAAGGTCAAAATCCAGACCAAAGAATGGGACAAAGCCTAGAAAATGTTGGACTTGTGGTGAAGAAGGTCATTACAAGAAAGATTGTCCTGAGCAAAAGAATGGAAAACAATCTAACTCTGCAAATGTTGCTCATGAGAAGGAGCAGCCTATGATCTTAACGGCAAGCATACAAGGCAACGTGAAAGAATGGGTCATGGATTCTGGATGTACTTTCCACATAACTCCAGATAGAGATGCTTTGTTTGACTTCAAGGAAGTTGATGGTGGAAAAGTAACTATGGGTAATAATACTTACAGCGAAGTCAAGGGAATTGGAAAGCTTAAGATCATAAATTCAGAAGGAGGTACAGTGATTTTAACTGATGTGAGATACATGCCATCAATGGGTAAAAATCTCATCTCTTATGGCCAATTGGAGAGGAATGGGTGCAAATATGAAGGTAAAGATTTCATAGTTACATTCTACAAAGGAGGTCAGAAAGTGTTTTCAGGGAAATATCAAGATGGGCTGTACTATTTGCAGGGAACGGTTGTGAAAGGAGAAGCATCTGTCGTCAGGTCTGAAGTGAATTTGACAAACAGATGGCATTCACGATTAGGACATATGAGTCTTAAGAACATGAATCTTCTGGTCAAAGAAGGTTATCTAGACTCTAAGGAAGTTCACACTTTGGATTTCTGTGAAGAGTGTGTATTCGGTAAAGCTCATAAACAGAGTTTTTCAGAAGGTAAACATACTACAAAAGGTATTTTAGAATACATTCACAGTGATCTATGGGGCTCTCCAGCAAATGAGCCAAGTATGTCAGGATGTAGATACTTTCTTACATTCATCGATGATTACTCAAGAAAGGTATGGATCAGATTTCAGAAGAGTAAAGATGAGGTGTTTGAGAATTTTTCAGAGTGGAAGGCACTTGTGGAAAATCAGACGTGTAAGAGAATTAAGTGTATAAGGACAGACAATGGTTTAGAGTTCTGCAATAATCAGATGGATAAGCTATGCAAAGACTCAGGGATTAAAAGGCATAGAACATGTACTTACACTCCGCAGCAAAATGGAGTTTCTGAGAGGATGAACAGGACAATAGCAGATAAGATCAGATGTATGTTGGCAGAAACAGGAATGGAGAAGAAATTTTGGGCTGAGGCAGCTTCTACTGCGGTTTATCTAATAAACAGGTCACCAAATGCATCATTGAAATTCAAGATTCCAGAAGAGGTTTGGTCAGGATCAAAGGTTGATTATAGTCATCTTAGACGGTTTGGATGTGTTGCATATGTTCATGTAATGCAAGACAAGATGAGTCCTAGAGCTGTTAAAGGAATTTTCATGGGTTATCCAGTGCGTACTAAAGGTTACAGAGTTTGGATACCTGAAGATGAAAAATGTACTATTAGCAGAAATGTAGTCTTTGATGAGGAAAAGCTATATAAGGAACATGATCAAACGGAAGTGACTACATCTACAAAGAAGAAAGTTACTTTCAGCACCAAGCTAATTCAGGGACCAACTCCTAGTGATTCGATTCAGGGATCTGCTGGTCAAGGTGGAGTAATTTCTGAAAATTCAGGTTCTACTGGTCAAGGTGGAGAAATTTCAGAGAGTTCAGAATCGGAAGAGGATGAGGAAGAGGAATCTGAGGAAGAATTGGAAAATCAGGATGGGTCTCTTGATGATTACTTGCTGGCAAGAGACAGGGTGAGAAGAACGATTAAACCACCATCCAGGTTTGAAAGTTCAGACTTTGTAGCTTATGCTTTATCTGCTGCAGAAAGCATAGAGCTAGATGAACCTAAAACAGTTGCAGAAGCTAGGAGAAGTAAAGACTGGAAGAAGTGGAACCAGGCTATGGTAGAGGAAAAACAATCACTTGACAAGAACGATACACTTGAGATTGTTCCCAAGCCTAAGAATCAGAAGATAATCGGGTGTAAATGGATCTTCACATTAAAAGATGGAATTCCAGGGGTTCAAGATCCTAGATACAAGGCCAGACTTGTAGCTAAAGGTTTTACACAGGTTGAAGGAGTGGATTACAATGAAATATTTGCTCCGGTAGTCAAACATGTATCGATCAGAATCATGTTGTCAGTTGTGGTTAATTTCGATCTGGAATTGGAGCAATTAGATGTGAAAACTGCATTCTTACATGGTACACTTGATGAGGTCATCTACATGAGTCAGCCAGAAGGGTTTATAGAGAAGGGAAATGAAGACAAAGTTTGTCTACTTAAGAAGTCTCTATATGATTTAAAGCAGTCTCCTAGGCAATGGAACCAGAGATTTGACGAGTTCATGAAATCACAGGGGTTTCAAAGGAGCACAAGCGATCCTTGTGTTTACACTAAAGGATCATGCATTGATGATATGATTTATCTCTTACTATATGTTGATGACATGCTTGTTGCAGCAAAGGATATGAATAAGATAAAAGTCTTAAAATCAAGTTTAAGCATGACGTTTGAGATGAAGGATCTAGGATCAGCCACTAGGATTCTTGGTATGGATATCATCAGGGACAGAAAGAAGGGTATTCTAAAGCTGTCACAGGAAAGGTATCTTAAGAAGGTTCTGAGAACATTTAACATGGAAGATTGCAAGGCTGTTGTAAGTCCATGTAACTCACAGTTCAAGCTTAAGAGTTTAACGCAGCAGGAATTGATAACAGAATCAGGGTTAATGGATTCAGTTCCCTATGCTAGTGCAGTTGGGAGTTTGATGTACGCTATGATAGGTTCTAGGCCTGACTTAGCATTTGCCATTTGCTTAGTTAGCAGGTTTATGGCAAATCCTGGAAGGATTCATTGGGCTGCAGTTAAGTGGATTCTGAGGTACTTACAGGGAGCTACAGGAACTTGTCTCACATTCACGAAATCAGAGAAGTTTGAAATTGAGGGATTTTCTGATTCAGACTATTCCGCAGACCTGGACAAAAGAAGGTCGGTATCTGGCTATGTGTTTAAGGTTGGGGGCAATACGGTTAGTTGGAGATCATGTCTACAGCAAGTGGTTGCCCTATCAACTACAGAGGCAGAATATATGGCTCTATCAGAAGCTACGAAGGAAGGTATATGGCTAAAGGGATTATGCAGTGATATGGGGTTTAAGGAAAATCAATTTAAACTCCATTGTGACTCACAAAGCGCTATATGTCTAGCAAAGAACAGTGTGCACCATGACAGAACAAAGCATATTGACAGGAGATATCACTTTATCAGAGATATTGTCGATGAAGGTTCAGTCAAAATCCTAAAGGTTCACACTACCAATAATCCGGCAGATATGCTTACGAAGTGCTTACCTGGAAACAGCTTTGAGAAGTGTCTTGCGCTTCTCAATGTCATTCCATAGTTGTTTCCTGAAAGTGGTGAGATCGCTCTTTGTCGATTTGGGCATCTCGCAAAAGCAGAAAATATTGAACGAGTTCAGTATTGCAAAAGGGATAATCGACACAGTTTTTTTTTTTTCGGTTGGTTAAGTTTGGAAGAGAAGGAAGAAACTGTAAGTTTGGGTTTATCGGTTCACAAAGTTACAGGACACAAGAGAAGACATGGGTTTTTTGGTTAAAGATCAGTTTGTTATCTCAAGGGAAATCGATGAATGAGAAATCTCAGAAGGTAAATTCTGATGATGTGAAAGTTACAGAGAAGTTTAGGGGGTTCACCTGACTGTTTCTGGACATAATCTAAGTCGAAATCAATGGTCTTCATGAGCTGCAAAGCAAAGTGGGAGAAAAGTTGAGTTTCGATTTCAGTAGCAAAATTACAGGGAAGGAGAAACTGAATTAATGTCACGGTCAAGAGGTGTTAATGTTCTTTCATGGGTATTATCTGAATTTTGCAATGCTCAAGTGTCATCGGTGAAGATGATTGTTCAAGTAATCAGTGGTAAAGTTGGTGAAAGCTGCAGAGAAGAAAAGTTTTTTTTTAATCAATACACAGAGAAGGAGAAACTACAATTAATGTCACGGTGGAGAGATGTTAGCTGTTTTTCGGATCACCTGGGTATTGCAGTTTGGTCGTCTTCAATCATGCGGTCAAGTCTGATTTCGCAGAAGACTTATTTTTGCAGAGAACAACTGTAAAATTACAGAATAATCAGAAACTGAAATGGAGACATAACGGTGGAGAGATGTTTGAGTTTCGGCAATACCTGAGTTGCAAGAAGAAGACTCGCTGGTGATTGGCGACAGAAACGATCGGCGGTTTAGTCCGAATTTGTCACCGGAGATGAAGGGAACGAGTATAGTCGACGATGCTTTTTCTTGCTCCAAATCCGATTGATGGTGGAGCTGTGTTAGAATCGAGGTCGGCGGTGGTTTAATCGGCGACTACAGTAGCTTCCGTCGGTGATGGCGGCAGCGGAAACGACCGGCGGTGAAGACGGAGGTGATCGCGTCCTCGCTGGTTGAGGCGGAGATAGCGAGAGAGATAGACGGCCGATTCGTCTCACTTTGATGGCGAATCGTGACGGCGGCGAGCTCCAGTCGGCGGTGAAGTCAGAGTCGGAGCTCCGGGAGAGATCCACTAGAACAGAGATAGAGAGGTGACGGAGGTTCTTCGTTTCCGGTGAAAATGAGGAAGAGTTTTGTCGGCAAGGTGGAGATTGTGAGATGTGTCGACAAAATCAGATGATGGGCTCAAGTCAATGGGCTTACAGCTAAATCAACTCTTCTTCTATTGGGCTCAAGCCCATACAAGTGTTACAAGGAAAGGTTCGTATAAAAGCTGCTTCAAGACGTTTGACGCAGGTAACCTAAAAAAAAAAGAGAGAGAAGATCCGAGACCTGTAGAGCGGCGGTGAAGAGCTTTGGTCTGAATCTTTGTGTTTCTTCTCACGTTGTTATAGAGCTAGGTTCATAGTTCTTGTAATCTCCTTGTGGTACCTAAAACAAGGGAGATAACGTGAGTAAGAAGAGAGCTTGTATCTTGTAATCACTTGATTGATTCTAGTGGATTGAGAGTACCGTCCTCTCCCCAGACGTACCGAAAGGGAACTGGGTTAAAAAGTCTTGTGTCTTGCTAATATCAAACTACAACAAACGTGTCAAGGTTAATTTGATCGTAGTTAGCTTAAACACATTAGCTAAGATTGAGGTTAAATCTGATATTAAATCCTCACAAAAGCCATAATGGTGGCACAAAACTTCACTATGAGGGACAAACTTTTGAAAGGTCTGCTTGTCCGTTTATGTGCATGTCTGTTTTTATTTTTATAGGGTCTTATACACATCTAAACTCTGGTTTGGTTTGGCCTTTTTCTTATTTTGTTGACACAGAATTTAGTTGCCCAATCTGTCGGGAAGTGATGAGTTCTCCAGTGACAACGCCTTGTGCTCACAACTTCTGCAAGGGCATGCTTGGAAGCTACATTTGCTGGGGTAACACAGCTGCGAGAGAGAAGCAGAGGCGGTCGCATACTGCGTGAACAGAAAAACGTCATGAAGTGCCCTTGTTGCCCAACAGACATTTCCGACTTTCTTCAGAACCCACAGGTTAATAATCAAAATCTTGAAAACAGGTCGTTTCTTCTTTGTATTGTGTTGTCGGGAAGAGTTTATAACATCAGTTTTATAAATTAGTAAGAAATATATGAGTTCACTGGCTGACGTAAAGTTTCCGTGATAAACAAGCAGGTGAACAGAGAAGTGATGGCTGTGATAGAGACTCTGAAGAAGAAAGAGGAGGAGCCAACCCCAATACAAGAAGTTGGAGAAAGCTCTGGAACCGCAGGTGAAGAAAACAACACCGAAGAAGGAGAAGAACCGCAGATGGTTGTGTCTGAAGATGAGCCACCAACTAAAAAGATGAAACTGGACACTGAGTAAGGAGCAGTTGCAACTTCTTATGTCTTTTTATGCAATAATTTTCATAGATATTAAGAGAGTCCTTTTAGTATAAACATGAACTCTCTCTCTCTTTCCTCATCTCTCTCTGTGTCTCTCTCTCTTTTGTTTTGTAATATTCCGTACGTTAACAGTTGTGGAACGTACCTATCTAAACCAGTTATGTAACAGTCTTTCATCTTCATGTGAACCACATTCTTCTTGAATTGATTCGCCTCCTCACGCTGCATAATCCCTCTCATCATTCTTCTGTCTTAGTCTCTTACCTTATGCACCAGATCATTAGCCTCTCTTTTCAAATTCCTGATCTCATACTCTCCATCACTCTTCTCTTTAACCAACCCTTCTCTACTCCAACACCTATTTTCTTGTTTCTTCTCTCAACCAAACCCCATAATTAGATTTGCATTTCAAGCTTCAACATGATTTTTAGTGGTTTAATTTTGTCTTGAATATTCAATGCATAAACATATAGTAGTAGTAAATATCTTCCATCCAACCTTCTGTTTAATTTTGTCTGCGCAGGCAGGAATGAAATGAGAAACACGAACACAACACGAATTTAATATCCATAATGAAATAAAATGAGCTTACTACTAAGAAGCGCAACGGCGGCGGATACTACTACTATCCGGCAACGGAGACCTGCACAGATCTACAATCGATTAGTCCATGGTTTGAAGGGGTAAGCAGAGAGAAAAAAAAAGTGAAAGGGAGATAACTAACCGGCGGTGAGATAATTGGTGCGATTTAATAGGTCGTTCGATTCCACAGCGGCAACACGGACAACGGCAACACGGCGGCAACCACGGTGGCGGAAGGGTTCAAATGAAGATTCCACTGTGAGTATAACGACAGTAGAGGGAAACAGACACAACACGTATATCACTGATATATGAATATGACTTACAGAAGTATACTTCGGAGGAGGAAGGGGAAAAGGCGGCGGCGACGATAGTGGGTCTGTCTTTCTTCTTCGACGGCGACGGTGGGCGGAGAGAACATGCAATCGCCTATCCGACAAAGAGAGAGAACGGAACGGACTTGGGTTTGCGAAAGTGAAATGTGAAAGTGAAACCCTGATTTTGGGTTTCTCACTTTCGATTATGGCCGGTTAATTTTGGTTAAACCCAATTACAACAAACATTAGAATTTCCTCGACCGGTTCTAAGCAAAAACCGGAATTGATGTACAAAGTCTACTCGTGAAGTCTACAAATTGAACTTTTAATGAGAAATTTATTCGCCCAAAATATTTCGTTTCCCGCCCTAAAAATTTCGTTTCCCACTCGTTTTTTGAATAAAAGACTTCATAGCAAAGTCTAACTATGAAGTCTACCGATGAAGTCTGACTTACCCTAAACCCTAAATCGAATTTTTGAGATCAAAGCTATAGAAAACATCAATTATGAATATATAATCACAATTTACATTATAAACTATAAATTCATTAGCTTTAAATCGTTAAACAAACCGCAAACAATTTTTTATGTCAAAATTCTCTAAACCCTAACAATCATACTCATAAACCCTATACATTGTACCTCAAACACTAAGCTTGATGATTGGTTTACTCATGAAACTTATAAACTGATTAATTTCCATGAAAATTTTATTTTACATAGATAGGATTTGTCTTCATTTAGATTATTTATAATTTTTTTAAGCCTAAATATTTTTTATAGATTTTAAACTTTAAATTTAAGATTTTGTTATTTGGTAGACTTCTTCAGTAGACTTCACACAATATTTTTTGGATTATACCATAATTTGTATTACCGATTTTAAATTGATCAATTTATATGCAAATTTATTTTTCATGGATAGTACTTGTCTTTTTTAATTATGTGTAAATACCTTCATCAAAATATTTTTAAAAGATTTCAAACTTTAAATTTACGATTTTGCTATATATTAGACTTCGGGAATAGACTTCACGCAGTTTATAGGTTACAAACATAATTTCTCTTACTTGAGTTAAATGGAGTCATTTTTATGCAAGTTTATTTTTCTTGGATGCCAAATGTTCTAATCTTGTTTATGTATAATTTTTTTGATCAAAACAATTTCCTATAATTTTATAAATTAAATTTGAGTTGTTTAGGAATTAGACTTCATGAATAGACTAACATGCCGTAGACTTCATGAATAGACTTTAAACAGGGTAAAACAGACATTGTGGCTAGCGTTTTTTTCTTTGTTCATAAGGGCTTGGTTTGTAATTCTACATGCCCAGAAGACTAGTTTTGCTCTAAATGCAATATAGGGTCTAGTTTTGCATTTCAAATCAAATTGTGCACTATATTTGGCAATTCCCCTTTCAAACCTCAGTTTAGTGTTCCGTAGCAAATGCAAGAAGAGACGCGTCCCACAGTTTCAACACGTCCATCACAGACTGGAGGACTCCCGAAGAGAATTACGCAACATTCTTTGCACTGAGAATTTGTACATGGGAACGGTGACATCCCGCACTCGCCTACGAAATTGAAGCATGCAGCCTCGCTCTTGAGGATTTCTACATGTTAGACATATCAATAAAGTTCAACAGCACACGAGAACTAAAACATATGTTATATAGATAACTGGAAAGTAAAATAGAGAATATCGTTCAATTAATACCTGTGGTAGCCATCAAAAAGACAAGCAAGAGAACGACGGAGTTAAGGTTCTTTCCCATTTCTTTTGTTTCTTTTGCTTTGCTTTTTCTTACACTTTTTTTTGGATAAACTTTACTTCTATGAGACAAATCCATCTGTGTGGTGATCTATTTATAATCAAATTTTGTAAGTTTGTTATAATTGATTAATCCCTCCACATTTCTTTCTGCTTGTTCCAAGTTCATTATGTCCGTCACAATTGTGCATTGCCGTCTTTCTTACTACAATTAATGTTCTCTAAGTCCTTTTTTAATCATCCACTTGTCTTAAATAATCAACCAAAAAGAAGGTCGTCGCTCTTTGTCGTTGTAGTCATTTTTTTCTTCTATATGCATATCCATTATTGCTTTTTAGTTTAATATAACTATTGTATGAAAAGGACAGTGTTGCTGTCATTGATAGAGTAAGAACGAATCTTGGTGACTTTTTAACTATATAATTAAATGTTTAGGGTTTCAGCGTCATTCCAATAAACATGGCGACACTATCTCGATTGTTTTAAGCATCTCCATTCCATATGTGTGTAACTTTTATTTATTTTTAACTCTAGACTTGAATTTTTAAGGGTTTGGTTCTCAACCCGAGTGTTCTACTCTCAAATACAAAAGAGTTGAATGAGGTCAAATGAGCAAGTTGGGCTTAACCAGGAATATGCCAAAGGAATACAGATTTAAGCCGAGAGGAGATGGGCTCAGTTTCAGTGTATCGATGGCCCTATCTGGAGAGTTAGTTAAAACTTAAAAGGTGGATAAGAGAGAGGAAGTTGTTACAAACAGTAAAAGGTCTTCTTCTCCACGATCAAACTTTCTCGTCTATTGTTGTATCTTAAGCTTTCTGTAAACACTGTAAAGGTAAGCTCATAGTGAATTGTAAGCACAAAATCCTGAAGAAAGTTGTATCCGGTTTAGGGAACTCTATGATCGTGTGTGTTCTTCTTTCTCTCTTCGTTTAAATTACATTATGGGCTACAAGTTGTTTCAGAGCGTAGGTTGGCAACGCAAAAGGATACGAAGATGATTCGGAATCAAAGCAAAATAGAAGGAAGAGATTGCAACTTACATAATTGGTGAAAACGATGAATGAGAAGTTTCACGGTACTAGGGTGAAGAGAAGACAAGTTCTCTTGGATTAGATCAACCAAAACTTAATACAATTAACTCATGGAGTGTTCTCGATCCTTGATCTCGTCTTTAAAACATTGAATAAGTTGTAGCTTCTTTCACAATCAACTTTGTTCATCTTTTGTCTATGAAGATTTCTTCCATTCTTGGTTATTGTTTTATGGAATTGCTTATCTGCAAGAAACAAAGGAGACAGATTTGAGATGGACAAGTTCGATGAAAAAGGGGATGTTGGCCTTTGAAAGTACAAAGCAATGGGAGCTAGAGAAATATACAAGGGTTGGCATCAGTTCTTAGAGAAAGTTCGACTTTGTATGTGGACTCAGATTAACAAAAATAATGTTTTAAGCCAAAGTTATATTTAAGAAAGGTCTAGAAGAAAATTCGAGTTAAGAATCCATTCGGATAATGTTTCAGTGACTTATTATTGAGAAAAGTCATGCATGAGGAGGATACGACCCTTGGAATGGGGAAAGATTTGGAGAGAGTGGCTACCAAATAAAGTCACTACCAAGTACCAAACAGGATTCCTCTCAAGGAGGTTGGCAAGTAAAAAAAAATGAAATAAAATGACAGATTGACCAGTAAAAAAGGAATTGAATTTACAGTTTCCAAATAAGAAATCAAATCTGAAAAAAATTGGAAACATATAATTTATAAAGGTAATATTTTATTAGAAATGATTAAAAATATAAATTGAAATATGCCACTGGATATTATCTGTATTTAAACATTTCTCAAGATTTCAGCCTATTTATAGATAGTCAAATCTAGCTCAGTTTAGAAAAATTTCAAAATTAAAAGAAGAAAGACAAAAAAAAAAATGAAATATAGTTGCAATCTGAATCAATTGTTGTCAAATTAGTAGATTTTATTCTTTTTTATTTGATAAAGATTTTCGTAGATTTTATTCTTCTTTTCATTATGGATTTTCTTTTTATGTAATTCGTTTGAAAAATTGAAAGACGCTCTCACCTAACACCCGCGTCTACTCATCTCATCTCCCTCTTCTATATATTTCCCCCACTTTTTTTCTTCCTCTCCAACCAATTAGCCTTATCTTTTGCCGACAAAGAAGAGGTCGTTATCATCAAACAGCCATCACAAGAAACGACGACGCCTAAACCCAAGAGAGCTCTACTCATTGATCTCAACGAAACCTACAATGTTGACGGAGGACGACAACAACTACACACCAAGTCAGCCGAAACCTCCTGTTGATAGCAACGCAAGGTAGGAAGAGCAACCTTTTCAGATTGGAAACACCCCTGGAGAGACTTTTTCGCATTGCCTCAGCATCATGAACCTTCTCTGTTTGGGAACTTTCCTCCTCCTCCTCCTACCCAAGATAACCGAGCTAGCTCCAGCTACAGCTACGGCCCCACACCCAGTTATCTGATCACGACCGCCATAGTGGCTTGGGAATGTGTGATCAGATAACCGGGTGTGGGGCCGTAGCCGTAGCTGGAGCTAGCTTGGTTATCTTGGGTAGGAGGAGGAGGAAAGTTCCCAAACGGAGAAGGTGCTTGATGCTGAGGCAATGCGAAAAAGTTAGGGAGATCTTGGGTGTGTTTCCAATCTGAAAAGGTTGTGCTTCCTGCCTTACGTTGCTATCAACAGAAGGTTCCGGCTGACTTGGTGTGTAGTTTTCGTCCTCCGTGTCATCATCGTAGGTTTCGTTGAGATCAATGAGTAGAGCTCTCTTGGGTTTAGGCGTCGTCGTTTCTTGTGATGGCTGTTTGATGATAACGACCTCTTCTTTGTCGGCAGGAGGTAAGGCTAATTGGTTGAACATGAGCACGGCTATCTCTCTCTCTTCCTCCGTATTAGCTGCTTTTCATGATAATTTCTGTTGTACAATCTGCCTCCAGTTGCCTGAAAGGCCAGTCACGGTTCGTTCTCTACTTCTCTCTCTCAAACTCTTGCTCTCTCTTTACTCACTCGTAGATTAAATGACTCTTATGGATCGCTGGAATTTTAATATTGTTTTTGAATTGTATAGTTGTTTATGTTCTCATTCACTTATTAGGGCTTTCTTGGGGTTTAGACTTTTAAATGAGACATAAATTAAAAAAAATAAAGTTGCTGTTAAAATATTTTGCATGCAACCATTATTTTAAGGATCTTAAACTAAAAGTCCTCAGCAAATTTAGTGAATTCCGCTTTTAAACTCCTGAAACTGTTCGTGATACTTAATTTAAATCCGCAGTAAAACACACACTTTAATTCTTGAATTGGTAATTACAGGAATGAGACCCTGATTGTGTCATTAGTACTTTCTCGTTTTTCCAGTTTTTGTATATTTTGACAAGAATGATGATTAATAATTAACTAGTACTAATGGATATATCTTGTACATGCCATTGCAGACTCCGTGTGGCCACAATTTCTGCCTGAAATGTTTTGAGAAATGGGTTGGGCTGACGTAAAGTTTGTGTGATAAACAAACAGGTGAACAGAGAAGTGATGGCTGTGATAGAGACGCTGAAGAAGAAAGAGGAGGAGCCAACCCCAATACAAGAAGTTGGAGAAAGCTCTGGAACCGCAGGTGAAGAAAACAACTCTGAAGAAGGAGAAGAACCGCAGATGGTTGTGTCTGAAGATGAGCCACCCACTAACTAAGTAAGGAGCGGTTACTACGACTGTTTAGGTCTTTTATGCAATATTTGTCATAGATATTAAAAGAGTCCTTTTAGTATAAACATGAACTCTCTCTTTCCTCATCTCTCTGTCTCTCTCTAATGGTTTGTAATATTCCGAAAACAGTTGTGGAGCGTACCTATCTAAACCAGTTATGTAATATTTTTCATCTTCTTCTGAACAACATTCTTCTTGAATTGATTCGCCTCCTCACACTGCAAATCAAATCCACTCGTATAAATTGAATCCCTCTCATCACTCTTCTGTCTTAGTCTCTCCTAATCTCACACTCTCTATCACTCTTCTCCTTAACCAACCCTTCTCTACTCCAACACCTATTTATATTTTCCTGGTTTCTGCTCTCAACCAAACCCGTAACTAGATATGCATTTCAAGCTTTAACATGATATTTCAGTGGTTTAATTTTGTCTTGAATATTAAATGCATAAACATATAGTGAATGGTAAATATCTTCTATCCAACCTTCTGTTTAAAGAAATTCCAATAAGATTCTAATACACACCACTAACTGATATTGATAAAATTAAGGACTATATACGAAACAGCTATGATTGAAATAGTCAAATAGGCTATGTTTAAGGCGGTTTACAAACATTATAAGGCTTTGTTTTGCAATTTTTCCAAACAATCTCGAGAAAGCTAGGGTTTATCATTTTGTGAGTTTCCTTTTATGTCTACCTTTGTACTTCGTTGAACTTCCGTTGTAACGACGAGGATCACAAGTTCAAACAAAGAATAAATAAAAAAGATGATAACAAGAGAAACAGAGAATCTCGAAGAAGACGAGACAATGAACATCAAAGTCAACCAAATATCCGAGAAGTCTGATAGAATCTCTCCGATCGTCGCTTATTTCTCTTCAGGGTACGATCCTTGTTCGGAAAATCAAAAATCCGACGACAGGGTTACGGTTTACAAGCTTAAGGATACGTCTAAGAAAAGGCTTCAGGTTGTTGTAAGCCCGCAAGGCTCAACCGTAGAGTTTGTTGGCTCAAATTGCACCGGCGAGCAAGCAACTCGACAGATTTGTATGTATACACTAGGTGTTCTTGATAAAGAGACTCAGACATTAAAGATTCTACCAATTGCTCACAATAAGGTTGAATAATCGAATTCCTTGTGTTACTTTTTGTTTTATTTTGGTACGTAGAGAAAAACTTGTTCTAATTAATGAGGTTGAAAAATTAGTTTCTTAATCACTAGATTGCATAACCTAGTGATAAATTTCTATATTTCTTAATATAGTGAAAATTTTCTTGATCTAAGGATAACTCTAGTTTGAGAGTATTGTTATGAAAACAAAAAAAACAGATGATATTTAAGAGTTGACCATTTGGTTTGTGTCACGAAATTAATAATAGCTTCCTTTTTTTGGATAATATTAGCTTCCTCTAAAGGATCTTGATTTGAAGCTAATGTTGGTTACAATTGCAGATAATCAGATTGGAGCCAAGAGTTAAACCTGAAGAAGATGCAACAAGTGAGCTCATCACCGAACTTAGCGAAGAAAAACTAAGGGAAAAAAAAGGAAGAACTTACCGAACTTTATGGTACACAGAAGGATATTGATCAGGTATGCGTACTCTAGTTTTTCTTTTGAAATATTAGCTTCACTTGCTTGTGCTCTGAACCAGCCAACATCAGTCTTATTGGTATCATTACATGTATAAGGCTGCAGCATTCATAGCATTAGTTTAGTCCCTGATCAGTACCTATTTAGAATGCCATATCAAGATTGTTGAGAGATTTATATGTTTAGTATATTGATAATGTTTTTTTCTCTATGCAGGACGAGAAGAAACGCGCTTTATACCTAGGAGATGATCATGAGGCTCTTAAGGTCCTTGATGAGAAACTTAACGAGGAATATGTTAAGAAAAAAGCTCTTGATGAAAACAAAATTTCAACTATTGCTCGCAACATTCCTCCTTATGATGCATCTGCGACGAAACCAAGTAAAGCTTATCCTATAGAACAGATCATCGCAAAGGGAGAATGGGAGTTTCTTCAAGATATTTACTTGCTTCTTCAGCAAGAAACTGGAGTAGCAGCAACCAATGCTTACCCTTTATTTGTGCAACACAGATTGTACAGGTTGCGAGATATGAAGGTAACAATTTATTTTATCCTCTTCTTGCAAGTAGACATTCATGGCAAGTCTTTCGTTAATTTGTGTATTTGCAGGACGAGGCTAAGAAGCTGAGGGTTTGTTGTGCCTTATCACTCTTAACCCATTTTGTTAAGTACAAGGACATGAATTCAATGGTTGGTTTCGATTCGGCTAAGGACCATTGGTTTCCGGATATCATCCGTCAGAAATGTAAGAGTTTGTTCAAGGATCATGAATCTGACAAGATATATATAGACAAGATCAACCTTCTGATAAGGTACGTTCTTGTGCTCTCCCTCCACGTGGATAATTTCAAGACCGACCCAGAAGACATAGCTAAAGATCTGAGGGTGAGCAAACTTGATGTGAGGAAGCAATTTGTGAACCTTGGCTGCAAATTCGAACGTGACAAGACAGTTTTGTTAGCCACCTTACCGGTCCCTCTCGAGTTCCCGCAGGTTATGCGGAAGAGGAGACGATAGATGGGAAGACACACAAGGGTAATGAATGAGAATCTTGGAGATACATTTCTAAGAGATTCTTTTGATAGATTTTGTTTTAGGGTTAATGACACAAAAACTTCACCTATATGATGTTTTGGCTTTTTACAAGATAAACGATTCTAATAATCCATAACTGTTTAAACACGCCTTTGGAGGATCATATCTCTTTTTTCATAACTCTTTACTTTGTATATCCTTCATAACGTGGTTAAGCAATAGTGTAACCATGGTATATATAAGTACATATTTTCTCTTGGTATGTTGTGGTTATATGAAGTAGGACTCTTTTGTAATAGTAAAAATCAGTAGGTGCTCTTTTGTAATCTACAACATATATTCTTTTGTTGCTAGAATGCTCTATAATAACTCAAATGACTCTAGTGCGGAATGATCGAAAGAATCAACGATATGGAGTTGGTTCGATCACTATGTTTGATCAGTAGTATCACTGATCAAATACAGTTTCTGTCCATCACTGATCATATCAACGTCTGTGATACGACCTTCTTCTTTTGATAATATTACTAAGGAGGCTTCATCCGATAGCCCGAGCTCTTGCGCAGCGGTCACTACTAGTCTCTGAAGATCGCTTGGGATCCAAACCACAACTCCGTGCTTTCTACTTAGCTCCTCTTTCGCCTCGTGCGGGTGGAATGGAAACACCGTGCATTTCCGTCTCTCAATTCTCTCTGTTTTCAACAGTTTAAAGGTTACAAGATCCATTTTTGAGTTATATTTTCTGAAGGAAAGTTCTCGAGTACCTCGTAGTTCATGAGAGCTTGAAGGGTAGATAGATCACTTGGCGGTTTTGGCATCTTCTAGTAACTTGATCAGTTTCTTGTTTCCGCACATTCGAGCTTCATCAAGCGGAGAGTTTCCCCAACTTCAAATATCAAAATATTGTGAAGTTTATTAGGTTTTAATTTAAAGCAAATTCTGATGATCCTTTTTGTATGGTTTTTTACCGGTCTCTAGCGATGACACTAGCTCCTGCTTCAACAAGCATCTTAGCCATCAGGTATAAGCCTTCAGAAGCAGCGATATGGAGCGGCTTTCTGTGATCATAATCTTCACTGTTTGGATCCATGCTGCTTGAGAGCAATCTCTTGAGAAAGTCAGAGTCTCCTTTTACAACTGCCGTGCAAAGGAAGTTACCCGAATCTTCTAGGTCAAAGGAGGCTCATTCTTTCACAAGTAAACTAATCACTCTGTCTTGCCCTGCTTTCACAGCCTCTAACAATGGCGTGTTCCCGAATTTATCTGGGCAAATATATGACCTAAAGCGTAAACATAACACAAAGTAACATTTCCCATTATCTCAACTTACGTGTTACCTTTTAGATTGATGTCAACACCTTCTTGAATAAGAAGCAACGTAATGTCTTCGTATCCCCTAGAAGCTGCAAGATGCTGCATATGAAGAAGAAGAAATTTTATTGATCAAAACAAGAATGTTCCGTGGCGTAGAAGCAAAGCGAATAAACATACAAGTGGTCATCTTCCATCGTAATCTGTTTGTTAGGATCGGCTCCAGCGCGGATTAAGCTTTTAAGATGGTAGATATCTCCTTGAAAAGCTGCACTGTTTAATTTCAATGCAAGCTCTGCTTCTTGCTTCCCAATGTGAATCATAAGGTCAGACTCTAACTTCTTTACCCTCTCATTCGTTTGCTTACCCTGCCGAAACCGCGATCAATCAAGTTGCAAGATTCTAATTTCTCAACTCAATATGTATCATCGCATTCAATGAAAAGAAACGGTTCCAAAAAATAGGACCTCCATAAGATTGTTCAAGATTTTGCGTCCGTCTTGGAAATAAATCTCGAGGATGTTGGAGAAAGACTGTTTATCGAGGCGTAAAAGATGGCATAAATCACAAACCCTAACTGTGAAAGGTTGAGAGATGTTGCACATGATGGAGATATCTCCAAAAGAAGCGTGAGGTCCAAGAAACGTCACACTCTCTTCCGTTCCATCTGTTCTTGTAACAATAGCTTCCTATAAAAAAGCCACACAAAACTTTACTAAGTGAAAGACATATAAAAGAGACATATACACATACAAACACAATCAGATTTTACTTACAAGTAAGCCTTCACAGACGAAATACAAATTATCCACGACGTTTCCTTGCTCTGTAATTACTTCTCCCGGAAGAAAATACTCTTCATGTAGCCTTATAACTATCTGATTAATAAACTCTGATGAACAGTCTTTAAAGAAAGGTATTTTCTCAATGTAAGGCATGTATAATAGTTGCGCAATGTGCAAAGAAATTAAACCTTCTCAAGTCCCAACATAGAAAAGATTATGACCAAAAGTACAAAACTTGTTGTTAATGAAAGAATCATCTATTAATTAGGAAACCTTGGCGCGGATCGAAGCTGGGATGTCCTGAAGCATGACAGTGTCAGTGTAGTTACTATCTTACTGCAATCTAACATGCCGTGTTATCTGACCACGAATATCTCTCCCGAGCTTTTTGCGGTTCATGAAACTTATAAGCTCATTCATTTTATCTCTAAATCTCTCTGTGTTTGATCCTTTCACAATCAAAGCAGTGATGTTACCGATCAGGTATGCACCGAGAACCATATCAAAGGAAACATATATCATTACGAATATCATTTCTCTTAGATTCACAGCGTGTATGTCAGGCAAAAGAAAGAAGAAACACACATGAATCTCTTCGTGATATAGCTAATCAAAATAATCATCAAGATAGAATTTTTGTTTTTGTTTTACCGACAGTGGCCATAGTGACAATGGCGAAGTAGAGAGACGTGATGTAACGTTTCCAAAGATCTATTTGTCGGAAGTTCTCGTAGCTGTAGTCTCCTAGTTTCAGGCTACCGATCCAAGTGTAACCCTCCTTCTCAGGAGGAAGACTGGTGGCCAAGTAATAGAAGATGCAAGCAGCAGTGTGAGTACAATAGACTTCGACGAAAACGAGCTTCAAGATTCTTGTGAAGAGATAGTTGACTCTCGTGTCTTTCTCAAGCCTATGGAAAAAACCAGTAACTTTGCGCACACGAAACAGTCTTATCCACAATATGTACCTCACCAGTTCATGTCTCCCTGAAGCCTGCAAACAAAAGAATATTTCACTCAAAAGAGTCGTATAAACCAAGATAAAAATTGGTTTCATTTAAAATGAGTTAACATTGAACAAGAATTTGATTCTGTTTGGCTTCTTCTTTCTAATAGTGAAGGCCCATTTGGGTCCCACCACAAGTCTTTGAACACCTCAATTTATTTTATTTTTTGGTGAAGTGAACACCTCAATTTATTTACATCATATCAATGATTTTCAAGTGTAAAATTTAGACACATGACTCTTTAAAATAATAACTTAATAATTTTAGAATGAGTTGAACAATATTATAGTTAAATCAAATCAAAGAAAATCAAAAGGTACACCATGCAACAATTGTTTTAAGTTTTTATTTTCAAAATTAATTTTTTTAGTTAATCTTTAACAAAATAGTAGTTGTAAGAAAATATTTTAAACAAATTTAAAAATATTATAGATTGATTTGAGTATAATATTAAATACAGTTATCCAACATTCAATCCGATTATAGTTTTTTCGAAACCAAAACTTAATAATAAAATTACGGATTCAAAAAATAAATTGTATAAATTTTAAATAATTTATGTTATTAAACTATTATATTTCATAATTATATGATTTTATTTAGTTTTTTTTAATTCAAAGGGTAAATATTTTGTTATTCTATTACAAAAATAATTTATTATATATCTATTCCGCATTCAGCAAAATTCAGTTGTTATCATTAATGTTACTAATAAATCAGCCAGATTCCACAACAATTCATCATTTAATTCTGCAGCATTCCGTATTCAGCAATTCTCAGTTACCATTTAGACCCTAAAATTGACTTTCAGTTTTTAATACCGTGCAAAAAATAATTCACCTAGTTATTTTGAAGGCACTTCAATCCTAAATCTTATACAGTAGTTGTTTCAAAAAAAGATGTCTACAGTATCTTTACTAAATGATAGCAGCTGTTTGAGGCCTTTGAGGGCATCTCACAGTCAGAATGCCATGTGGCATATTACATTTAAAAAAAAAAAAAACTCTTATGTTTAAAAACGAATTTCATCCGAACCATCTCTCCCGAGCCCATGGCCCACAAAGTGAATCCCTTCAATCGTCACCCTTATTCTCGCGGCCGTCTTCTTCTTACATATCGATTCATCTTCTCCCGTCTTCTTCTTCCTCCAACTCTTCTTCTTCCAGGATTTGATTCGATACATTTCTCAGTTCTCTTCAAACGTTTCAGGTCAAGGTTGTTGACTTACTCAATCAGGTATCACCGTCTTCTTCTTCCCACTTCTTTTTTGTTCTCTTTTTTAAAAAAAAAATTCTGCAAATTTCGACTCAATATGATTGAATCGGTTATGGTTTATCTGTGCTATCATTTTTCTTCTCGGTGCCTTCGCGATAACGCTCGACGGTTCCGATTTCTGGTTCATCACCATCATTCTCCTAATCGAAGAAGCTCGAATCTTCATCAGAAGCCACGAGCATGAATGGCAGCACCAAGCCACGTGGACCGTCGCCGGCGTCGGACTCAGCAGCTTTCGCGCTCTCCGATCAAGCTCCGCTTCACTTCCGCTTCGCTTCACTTCAGCTTTGCAATTTTTGGATTAGGTACCTTTGGTTGTGAATTTCGGGATTGTTAATAGTTTCGGAAATTTTTGAAGATCATTTCTGCCGTTGATTTTGATATTCTCTTTGTGAATCAAGCAGTGAAGATCAAATCATGGCCTCTCGAATTGCTAACAATGTGGCGGAAGTAAGCTCTCCAATTCTTACACTATTCATTTTCAAAAGTGTTGATTTTTGTTACATGCTCATGTATTTATTGATCTTATTTGTTTATTTTTGACTCAGTTGATTGGTAACACTCCATTGGTGTACCTGAACAATGTTCACTGAAGGATGTGTTGGTCGTGTTGCTGCTAAGCTCGAGATGATGGAGCCATGCTCCAGCGTCAAAGACAGGTTTCTGCTTTTCGTTCATAAAACTCTGCAGTTTCTTTTTCGTTTTTGAGTTTCAGTTTTGTGAAAAGCTTGTGTTTTGCTTCTTTTTGCAGGATTGGATTTAGTATGATTAATGATGCAGAGAAAAAGGGTCTTACAAAGCCAGGAGAGGTCAGTTTTGATATCTGATTCTTATTTTGGAGGTTTCCTTTTATGTTTGTTTTCTGACTTTTTTTTTAGTTTGTTCTCTTGTAGAGTGTGTTGATTGAGCCAACAAGTGGAAACACCGGAGTTGGGTTAGCATTCACGGCGGCTGCAAAAGGATACAAGCTTATTATCACAATGCCAGCTTCAATGAGTGTAGAGAGAAGACTCATTCTCTTAGCTTTTGGTGTTCAGTTGATTTTGACTGACCCTGCATGAAAGGCGCTATCGCAAAGGCTCCTCTTTTGGCGAAAACACCGAATGGTTACATGCTCCAACATTTTAATAACCCTGCCAACCCAAAGGTATGCTTATTAGTTTTTACTTTTTAGTAGCGCTGGAGTGAATTTGTTTCTGTCAGTTCTTGAAATGTGACTGTGACAATGCAGATCCACTATGAGACTACTGGACCTGAGATATGGAAAGGCACTGGTGGTAAAATTGACAGCTTTGTCTCTGGGATTGGTACTGGTGGTACCATAACAGGTGCAGGAAAGTATCTTAAGGAACAAAACCTGAGCGTAAAGGTGAGAGAGCTCTCTATCTTTTGGCATACAAATTGGCTTTCTTATGATACTCTTAAGACTTATTCCGAAATTTAAGCAGTGTGACTTTGCAAGGGCTTATTTTGTTTTCTCTTTTGTCAGCTGTATGGAGTGGAGCCAGTTGAAAGTACTATTCTCTCCGGTGGCAAGCCAGGTGATTTGATCTCCCCCTCTATTAATTACTTATAATCATTCATGATCTCTTCAACCTGTGAATAAGGTTTGATGAATCTTCACTCTCCATGATTTGAGAACTTTTTCAACATTTGAGCTTTGCTTGATCATCCAAAATATATATCAGTACGACAGAGTAGCATTGCTACCTTCTGATATGGGTCTGAAGCTGAATAGACAACCTACATAGTTTTTCTGCAAGACTCTTGCAGCAAGTGACACGAGTACTCACGGTGGTTTCTTTGTAACCCGTCGTGCAGCTGAGAAAATATTCCCTCCTACATGGACATTCAGACATATCATTCAAACATTGTTGTCTTTTCCGGTCTATTAGGATAATGCGCACTCAGCCGCCTGAATTTGGTCAAGATGATGATTTAAGATCATATCATTTTTCTATGGACTATTCTTATATTCAAGTTATGATGCCGAACTGTTCACTCTCTCAAAGCTACTTGCTGCGAATGCCGGACACTTGGATAGCCCTCCTTGATTATTACATATTATGTGTATGTATAACTTCTAATGTTCAGGCAGTAGATAACTAAAGTACACAAAATGGTTACATCACCTCATCAGAGTATATATATATCTTAACATGTTCTTTCAAATCTCCTATGAAGCTTAAAATCTTGACCAATTTTAGTAAAACAATAGCAAAGCTGGAGCTAGATTGGACTCATTGGCGACAACTTATGACTTTAAAAAATGTCATATTCCGCTTATAACTTTTGTTTTTCCCAAAGATTTACAAAAATGGTTAAAGACGATGCTGGTCTGGAACGAGAGAAGTTATAGTTACCGCAAATCTTTTCAAATGAAGTAGAGAACATATTCTGAGGAAGCAGAAGGATTGTCTAAAACATGTGCTCACTCACATGAATTATAAAAAAAAATCATTTTATAACAAATCAAGCTCTTAGTCAGAAAAAACTAATTAACAATAATTTACTTTTTTATTCGATGAACATAAGAACATATAATGTTTTAGACCAATTAAACTACAGTTATGTGGTTTTCAAACTAAAACAGAAAACAAATTTATATATATTTTATCCGGGCGTAGCCCGTGGCGTTCCCTAGTTTTACTTAAAAATAAGAAGATACTTTTAGACATTAACTAAAGTTATCACGTCTCTTTTCTAGTAAGCGAATAGAAACTCTGTATGTGCCTGAAATGTTTAAAGAATGGGAGATTTGTGAATATACCCCCAAAAGAGAGAACTATTGTCCCCTTACACTTTTTTTGAAATTTATCAAATCTGGACTCTAATACCCTTACATATGCTAGAAATATGATATAAATATATTTAAAAGTTTTAAAAAATTAAATAAATTAAGTAAAATGATTCTAAGGTTTAGAGAATATTTTCACAATTTGTTTTTGAAATTTGAACCTCAGAAAAATAAATAAAATTTGCATCTACCAAATTCATTATTCAAAGTAGAATTTGTCTTCTACTAGAGACTCTCACATCTATCCCTCGTAGAACATAAAATCTACCAACTGTTCAGCCATCTACCATCGTAGAATTTGCTTTCTACTAAATACTCTATACTCTACGAGTTGGTAGAGTTGTAGAACATTTGTTCTACGTTGTATACGGTTTTCTACCGTTGGTAGAACCTATATTCTAACCTACACATTGTTTTCTACCATCTCTAGAATCTATATTCTATCATAAACAATTTCTTCCACTATTTGGAGAATTCGTGTTCTACACAAAATACTATCTTCTACTATTTGTAGACTTTGTGTTCTCCTGAAAACAATGTCTTCTACTGTTTGTAGAAACTATAATCTACATTAAACACATTTTTCTACGAAATGATAGAATTCAACTTCTACGAGAATCTAAAAAATATAGTAAAAATGGTAACTAAATATTAGAAAATATCTTCAAAAACTATATTTCCTTAATCTACTTTGCCAGAAGAAAAAAAAGAATTCTCCTCACGTTCTTCTTCTTCTTTTTTGCTTTTTCTTATCATTTATATAATTTTCTTTTAGATTATTTGTTTTAATCTATTTTTCTCAGGTTATTCTGTTGCATATCTATATAACATATGGAGACTGAGTGCAATCAAATGGTGGAATTTCGTTGTTGGTGAGGCAAAAGGAACTAGATTACTTGCTTTGAAATATATTTTTCTTTTCTTAAATAATTAATTATTTATTTGTTTATTACACTAATCATTTAATTTCATTTATTAATTATTTATTCATTTGAAAAAATCATGAAAACGTAATTTGAGGGTTTAAATTGGATTTAAAATTTAATTAAGGGTAAGTGGACAAGATTTGGCAAAAAAAGAGTAGATGGACAACTCTTCTCTTTTTCTGGAGTATTTTGCCAAATTTCCCTTAAAGAATTTGAAACAAAAAGTAACTCATTTTCTACATTTTGTGAAACAAAGAAAAAAAAAATGATAGGAATATGAGGAAGTGTCCCAACAAAAAAAAAGTAAAATCAGAAGAAATCTACAACAGAATCACTTAAGTTGCATCTAAAGTTGACTTCTAAATATATTTTGCAAAAGATAATTCATCAAAATCCTAAATTTTATAGTTTAAAGAAAATCTTCAATCTCATAATTAAGGTTTATTTTTTTCAACATCAACCCTAATCATATAAGTTATAAAATAAAAATAGACAGAGACTACACAACTGTTGATTAATAAAAGTTAAACTGACGGAGACAAATATTATAAATATGTGGTAGTACTTAAAATATGATGTAATGAACTAATAATGAGTTTCACCCTATTGCCCCATGTTACCAGTTTGATTTGGATTGATGAGATGAGATAATATAAACTATAAGATTTTGTTTAAGTGTGCAAAAACAAAATTTGTGGGGTTACTTACTTTTAAATCAAAACGCTTTTGCTTGAGCATAATGGTGAACTCGTTTTTGGAATCATTGAATTTTTTTGTTATAAGCAATAGTATATTCATATATCAACAATGAAGTTAGTTTATACAAGAAATTGAGGTGAAAGTAGATTGTAAAGCATAAAATATAATATATGTTAGATGTCTCATATTGAAAATTTGAGATGAAATCTTCTTACATATAAAATAGAGAATTTAACATATGACTTAAAAAATTGTATACACTCTAATGTTTTAGAAAGAAAAAAAAAAACATATTCAGGCGAAACTTGTATTCAGTACCTCGGTATTTAACAATCGGACAAATGATCCATAACATTAATCTTTTGTCCAAAATTGTTTTGAATTATATCATTGACTAAATCAATAAAAATAATTCTTGTAATTGATGTGTTTGAACGTCAATAAATATTGACAATTAAGAGCAAACTCAATTTTGTATTGTGACTC